TCAAAAGGGATATTGGAGCTTACACAAATCTTTTCTGCATCGTTTCAAATGACCTCATGAGTTCGTTTACATGACATGTCACATTTATAGATCTCTGTGTGTTGTTATCCCTGCTTCCCTGGAATGAAACCTACTGTCATTGTGATGAGGTATCCTTTTGATCTTTTCTTGAATCTGGTTGGAAGTTTTAAAAAATTTATTTGTGCGTTATGTGTATGGCCTGTGCCTGTGCCATGACTAATGGAGGAAGGATCACACAAGGATGAATTCAGCTCTTTCCTTTCAACATGTAGGTGGGTGGATGGGTATGTCCCCAGGCTGGGCAACAAGCTTAGATCCATTGAGCCATCCCATGAGTTCTTTTAAATATCTTTTGGGGCATTTTTACAACCATGTGAAATGGGTGCATAATCTTCATGTGTGTTTCCAGCTTTGGCATCTCAATAATACTGGCTTCTTAAAGAGTTTGGAAATGTTCCTCCCTTCCTGTTCCATGGAGGAATTTGAGACGTGCTGGTCTTGGGTCCTCTGAGAAGGCCTGGTAAAATTCCCCAGTGAACTCATCTGAGCCCAGACTATTTTAGTCATGTGACTGTTTTTATTACACACCAGCATCACTACTCACTATAGATTTGCTTAAATTATTTATCTCATTTGGGTTTAATAGATTTCTTTTGGAACTCAAAAAGGAAATTCAAAATCAATTACTTTAGATTTTCCAGATGTGTGGAATATATGTATTTAAGCCATGCACACGTGGTTTGCTGATTCCTCACTCTGCTCTGCTGTCTACGCCGTCCTATCTAAATTTATCAATTGGATTGTCTATTCCTTTCTTTTAGTCAGTTTGGTTAAAGACTTGCCAATCCTACTCAAAAACTAGCCCTTTGTTTTTCTGCCCCAACGTAACTGTTTCTGGGCTACTCATTCTGGTTATTAACTGTTCATGTTTGCCTAAGGCCATGACATGCATCACAGAGCTATTCATCTATGTGCAGAGGTCAGAGGACAACTTGGCCACATGGGTTCTGGAACTGAAGTTAGACTGAGCCACCTTGCTGTTCGTTAAGGAGGTGCTGAACTGTAAACTCTTAAAACTGCGTCATTGGTGCCAGTGATTGGGTTTGTTGTGTTTTTATCCACTTGCTTCTAGGAGTTTCTTAATTTCTTCTTTAGTCTTCTCCCACTTGTCTATCACCCAGAAGTGCACTGTCTGGTTTCCGAAGACTGTGAATGTCTATAGTTTCACCTGCTAATTAGCAGTTTGACACCATCAGCAGACGCAACACAGGAATTCCATTAGTTCCTACATTCGGTAAGGTTCTTTTCGTACCCTAACACCAGCTTGGTTTTAAATTATTGGGGGAGTGGTAAAATTCAGTTTGATTTTTAAAACATTTCCTACTTATTTTTAAAAACTTAAAAGCAAAACTAACACTCCCATACAAACTTCTAATTATCATTCCCTGTCCTTCTAAAAAGGAAAAACAAAAAAACAAAAAACAAAATCCCAAAAGATGGGAGGTTTGTGTGGCCCCAGTCAGGTGAGCACCTTCCTCAACTCAGTTGGAGTGGTGAGAGCTCAAAGGAGAGTCTTCACCCCTCAGACAAGCGCTGGGCAAGCTGTGCAGGAGCTGAGCCCTCCACCCTCCCCTCTAGAAGTCAGCTGAGCATGCACTAGGGAGCCACTGGGGGCCTCATCAATCAGCCCATTCTAGAAATAGCAGAATCTAAGGAAACTGTACAGAAATCAACATCATCCCATGAACATGTTATCAACAGCCCGGAAACCTATTGAAAAACAGCCAGCCCATTCACAAAACAACAACGCATCAAACGCCTGAGAAACCTACCTATGCCACCTCTTCAAGGATCAAATACCACATTTTACATTCAAATTGTACAAAGAAAATAAAAGCCCTTAATGTGGGAAAGATCTGAATAAATGAAGAGACTCCAGGCTGAAGACTTGATGCAGAAGACCACAGTGCTCCTCACTTAATTTATGACTTTATGCAGTTCCAGGCAAAACATCACAGGGTTATTACAGAACTTGATAAAAATGGTTTTTAAATTTGTATAGGAAAATAAATGGGCAAAACTATCAGAGAGCTAGGAATCAGTACCTGGGAGGAAGGCACAGGCAGGTCTTAAAACAACGATTGCCTGGCTATAAACCAACCGAGGGAAGCATCAGGAAGATGTACAATTTAACAAACTCAATAGGAATAAAACAGATCACAATAAAAAAAAGTGCAGACCACACGATGCATCAACAATCAGAGGGCTGAAATGTCCTTCAAAGCCTCTTAGCCCCAGCAGACAGCAAGGCTGTCTTTCTCTTTTTCATAACAGAGAGATCATCAGAACATTTCAAAGGGACAAGATGGAGACTTCCTGACCCTGGGGAAAAGCAGTCTTTCTTAATTTCCAGCCTCCCAAGGTCCATCTCAAGCTCTTCGTTCCTGGAGCACTGACAATCAAAAGCAGGCCAAGGCAGCTAGTTAAACCCACATTGTTCTCTAATTATGCATCCAGTGTGCAGGAGGGAGGCTGTGCAGGCTGGTCTCCTGCCTTCTCTGTCAGTGGACACCCAGTAGGCACCATGGAGCCTTCCTATGGGACAGTGGCTAGCACCCACCCAGGGTTTCTGGCTTTTCCTCCTTTCATCACAGATGATAGATGGGCCAGGAGGGAAGCCATGGCCAACATGAGGAGAGGCCTATAATTAATGGAGGTTTTTTACCACAGCAGTGAGGGCTGGGACCACTGTCTTCATTTCTGGACCGAAGACCTACATTTTAGTCCTCTAAGGAAGGCTTCATTGTATGCCACTCCAAGTCCTCATGGGTCCCACTAGGAATCACGTCACCTTAACATTGTACATTAGTGACCCAGTTCAACAACTCTGTGTTGTACAGAGAAAGGTGGCCATTGGAAGGACAAAGGCAGGTTAAAGGGAGCCTGGCATAGATCGCACACCTACAAGCATGCCTGTGCAGAACCCTTGGGGGCACAGGGCAGGATAGGATGTCTACTAGACTGCTTTTGAAAAACAAAACCAAGTGAAAAATAATAAACAAATACCTCAGAATCCTCTTTAACTCAGAGTAAGCCCTGTGCATGAGGCCCATCTTGTCCAGTTATCTGGACAGGCTGGTTACAGAGCGCAGACTCATTTGCCTGAAGAAAACTGCCTCCCTTCTCCACTTCACTCTGTACATAAAGGAAGAGTCTCCACCTGCCACAGCCTCGGGACTAGACACGCGAGACTGGTCTAATCATAGATGGAAGAGCTCAAGCTCAAGGGGTTCTATGGGCATGAGCCTGAACCATGATACCACCAAGGGCTTTCTCTGGACTGGAGGCTTCCCCCTCCCCCCCGACCTATGAAAACTGAGTCAGAACCCCAGGCAAGATGAAAACCACTCTGAGGCTCTCTGTGCTGGTGGTTGACGTTGGGGTGGGGGTGGGGCACTGAGATACTCAGGAAAGTTGGACAAAGGCATGGCTGGGAGCCAAGGGCCTTCTGGACAACCAGATTCCTAGCAACCAGCAATATTTCCACCCCAAGACACCAGTTCCAGGCAGAAGCTGGGGCAGAAGACATTCAAAACCAGAGGTCTCCGAGCTAGTGATTTCTTCCACTGATGTTTCAGCTAGATGCGTAGGCAATCTAACTCTAACTCTACGCTGGGATGTGGGCAAAGCCCACTCCTGACATCTGCAGCGGAAAGCAAGGCTCATAAGCTTCAGGGACAAGACTCAAATCACTGATTTCATGGAAGAGAGAAAGACATAAGGAACTGTGTGTGTTGATCTGCATAAAGCAGAAGGTAAGAAGGGGCAACTTTAAGTCTCCTCAGGGGTGATGTGTCCAGCTCTGACCTCATCCTCTTCCCAACATGCACTCTATAGTGGTCAGGACAGAACCCTAAAGTTGGCTATTTCTCCTTGTTGTTTCCTTTTGGCTCCAGCTGGCCTTTCCCCCTAAATCACAAGATCAGGAGCTTGGAGTTTTCATAATTTCTCCTGGTGAGAGCCAGTGGAGATCAGAGAGCTTGAGTAACAGCAAAATAGCACCCCGGAGAGAGGAACCCAATGTTCCCGCATTGTGCCTAGTCCCCTTGGAGGACAGAACGGAGGAGCCCTGTGCCAAATTCCCAGTGGGGTTGAGCCTTCCTGACTGATTACCACAGTGAGGGGTGGGGCGCATTTCAAAGTCCCTCAATTCATCTCTCTCCAAAGGAGAGTCTGAAAAGCCCTCCATCTCCCAAAATAGTCCTTTCCAGTGACTGTCCAAAACATGCTCAACAGAGACCGGACCACTTGCCAGGCAGAGCAGAACCCAGGCTCATCTTGAAGAATGTGCTGGTGCCTGTAGGACCTCTGACAACAGCTGCAAGCCTTTACAGACTCACATGACTCACCTGTTGCCCAGAGCAACAAGCACATTGCCTTGCACATGGGAACAGGTAGAATGGAAGCAATCTTTTTATGAGTTTGAGGGAAACAAAAATCTTGGTTGGACTAGGTCTTAAAAGACAAATGGAGACTAACAGTCAGCTCTGGCCCCAGAAACTGGAAGACCTGTGACTCCAAGTCTGACTCTTAGCCTCCCTGCCCTGCTCATTCACTAGGGTAGAATTTGTTACTCTGAGCCCACTGGTAGTATGTTAATATTGGGAGGCATCTCATATTGATCTGCATTTTGCTGGATGGCAGGAATTGTTCATCCTCATTTACTTTGATCTCCCCACAATGCCAGGAATAGTGTCTTGGTCATAGAAGTGACTCAATTTGTGATTGCTAAAAAGCCAATTTCATTTGTAATTTCCGAGACAGCTCCAGGAGGGGAGGCAAAGAAGGCCAATGTAATTAATAGATGGACCTGACTAATGTCTTTGCTCCAGAAAGGGAGTATTGTAGAGCAAAGAGCCTCAGAGGCCTGCTGGCGTAGAGGAGCCCCAAGACAAGCCACTGGGGCCATTTGTGCTTACCTGGATTGTCTCACGGCTGCCATTCAAACACTCCGTTCTGTCACCAAGCAGCAGGCATCTTCAAAGTCTTCTGAAACAGAAGCAAAATGGAAGGTTTGAGACCCCAACCCTTCTCCTATAGCCTCCCCTACCCCACTCCCAGGAGGGAACAACATCTAAAGAAGGTTGCTGTTGAGCACCATGGAAACATCTCCAGAACATGGTCATCTGTCCTTTGTGGAGGGCATTCCACTTCAGAGCCCTGATTGCTAGAATATTCCTTCTTGGGCTGCAGCCTTCTATAAACGCCACCCTCTGGAGCTATGGAAAGGGACTCTGAAGCCTCTTCCACAGGACAATCCCCTTCACAACACATCTCAATAAAACCCCACTGTATGACATTCTAATGAGCTGGAAACTGCTTTCTTGTACAGCTGGTTTAGGAGCCTGCCTCTGGCAGAGCATGCAGGTAATACATGAATACACTTTATTTACCAGCAGACACAGAGAGAGCCCTTGCTCTTAGTCTGATAACAACCGAGGTCGTTCATCACCCACTTGGTCCCTTTTGAAATTCACTCTGCAGCAAGCACTTTTTAAAGTCATGCACATAATACATTTTAAAGAGCATTTTCTGTGCAGATCCATTTGCTCGACCTCAGCACTAAGTGCAAGATGGAACTGTCTTCAGCGCAGCCCCTGTTCCTCCTGGAATCGGTGCTGAACACATGCTGAAATGAATTTGTAACTATACATACCTAAAACCAGGGCTTGAAAATGCAGTGTTTTGTTAAATGTCCATTGACTGATTAAAATGCGTCTTGCAAAGAAAGAGCATTGCTAATGCAGAATCCTAGTCCAAAAATATGTATTATGTAATGCATATTTTTTAATAATGCAGGCAATGTCAGTGTATTGGTATTAGTGAATTGGCTTTGGGCTGCCATCTCTGTTACAGGCATAAAGCACTCCATCTGAAAAATGAGGCACTTTCCTCCATACATTAAAGAACCATAACCCATATAACCCCCCTCACTGCTGACAGCTGGCATCAGTTTCCATCAAAAGGGCATTTACCAGCACCCACACAGCCTGCAGTGCTCCCTCAATGTGCCTTAAAATCAGCTTGACCAATGTCTCTTGCACCAAATGTTCGCTGGCAGAGCTGTGCTAACTGAAAACCTGGAATAGGCATGTAAAAGTGGTCAGATCCCTCGGACATCCCCCACTAGGCAGGAAAGGGGATCTTGGGTCTCAAAATTCAGCAGCCCCGAGCAGGGTCTCCCAGGCAGTACCCTAGAGTCAGCAGGGCACAGCTGGAACACAGCCACACGCTGTTTCCAAGCTTTGCTAAACCAACCCTCTCTACCAGAGCAGTTAGTACTTCAGGGCTAACAACATACCAACTCCTGGACCACAAGATGCAGTACTGACATAGCCAAAGGACAGAAACAAAATCCGCAACCCATCCAGCAGTGGCTGGGCTCTTACTAAGCCCTTCATTAGAGCATCTGGATGCTTTAATGCAGTCTGGTGCTGAGGGTATGAGGGTAAGTGACCTATAGACAGCACTGGCTTAGGACATGACTGAGAATTCCACCTCCAGGAAGGAATCCTGGGGAAGCAGAGTTTAGAGAGGCAGCAGAACATCTTCTTTGAATTTCTTCACATGGACTCAAGAAAAGAAAAAAAAAAAAAAAACAGCCCAACCTGTGACATGTGTCCCATGTAAAATAACCCTCCCGGGACTTTATGCATTCCATAAACACAGCTCTGTTTGTCTCTGGGGCCAAAACAAAACAAAAAAAACCCTTCATATTTAACTAACAGCAAGGCAAGATAAACGAACCCCCCCCCCCCCCAGCGGCGGTCACACACAGGAGGAACCTGAAAACTTCCCACTTCCCACCACAGGGATCTGTGATCCGTCCCCTCCGGACTTACCTAATTCATCAGGTTTTCCGGGGCTGCGGAGACCAATACCACGATCTAGTGGTCTCTGGCCGCCCCCTAGCCATGATATTCTGGCTGATGCACCTGCTTTTCTCATGTAAGATCTTTCAGATGGATGCTGAAAGAATGAGTTGAAGCTCTGGTTAAGGTACATTAACCCCCTCAACACCCTTCCTCTAATCCAAGACCCGCGGGGGTTCGCCGCTGTATTCAGCACCTAGAACAGAGCCCCGCCTGTGCCGGAACTCAAATTCGGTGGTGGTTGAACGCTCTCAGCTGAAATCTATCAGTTTGCGCTCAGTAACTACCCTAAAAACCCGCCCAAGAGTAACGGCTGTAGGGCCTTCTCCTGGTCGCTGTGGGCTTTCTACGGTCTTCCAGCACACCTCAGTGAAGCAGAGTTCACCATCAGCTAGCCGTCGCCCCGCAAACTCCCACCTCTACAGCTGCAGGGGACTTTCTTGAGCGACGGCTTGTTTGTCGACGGGGTGACTACTTTTTGGAAGCTGTTCTAATTACAGTTACTGTAACAGCCCCGACAAAATGTCGTGATTAATGACTACTTGAGGTTCCGATCCCTCAAACCATCAAGCCCTTGGAGAATACCAGGTGTTGGGTCATTAAAACTCATGTACGAACCCTCATTCTAGAGAATGTTCGCAATTTTGTGTCTTGGTTTTCAGTTGTCCAAGGAGAAGTTGGAGAGTGGGATAAATCCCGCAAGAAATCCACACTCAGCCTCGAGACTGCTAACCTGTAGCTATCTTGCTCGCTTCGCTCATTAGAACTGACTACCATCCGCCCCCCCCCCCCCCAAACGTCGATGCTTTGGCCAAATCCTCTCAAACAAGGTTCCCGCCTGCCACCTGCCGGCCCACTAGGGTCTGCGCCACAGGCTATGCGCCACCCGCGCATCTAGCGGGGAGGCACCCCCACCTCTCTACTGCACATGCCCGGCAGAAGTCCGCGCAACTTTATAGGGCCACACCGCCCCATCTCGCCTCAGTCTCCTCTATCCTCTCCCTGATGAGAGGACCAGTGGAGGCACCTCTCGGAGTCTTAGACTTAAGAGTCTGAGACTTAGCGAGAGGAGCCCAGAGGAGACAACCCTTCTCTGTCCTTTTACCTATCCCTTTCTTTTACTTACAGACGCAAGCTGAGGCGCGGAGCTGTAGAAAGTTCGTAGTGGTCGGGAAGGTAGGTACATCTTTTCTTTTCTCCCCGAGGTGAGACTGGGGTCTCCGGACCCAGCTTCTCACCTCATAAGGTTCATCCTTTTCGGCTCCAGCTGTTCTTGCGCAGTGGGGCCACTCTCTGCAGAGCCAGAGGGTGAGTCGGCTTCCCATTGAGCACCTAGGAGAATGGATCGCAGGTCCCGGGCTCAGCAGTGGCGCCGAGCTCGCCATAATTACAACGACCTGTGCCCCCCCATCGGCCGCCGGGCCGCCACCGCGCTCCTCTGGCTCTCCTGCTCCATCGCTCTCCTCCGCGCCCTAGCCACTTCCAACGCCCGTGCCCAGCAGCGTGCTGCCCAGCGTCGGAGCTTCCTTAACGCCCACCACCGCTCCGCCGCTGCCGCCGCTGCTGCGCAGGTACTCCCCGAGTCCCCTGAATCCGAGTCTGACCACGAGCACGAGGAGCCAGCGCCTGAGCTAGCCCGCCCTGAGTGCCTGGAGTACCCTGACACTGACTACGAGACCGATTCGGAGACCGAGTCCGAGACCGAGACCGAGACTGAGACGGAGACTGAGACGGAGACCGAGTCGGAGACCGAGTCGGAAACTGAGTCCGAGTCTGATATCGAGTCCGAGTCCGAATTAGAGAGCGAATCTGATACCGCCCCCGCAACTGAGCCTGAAACCGAGCCCGAGGACGAACGCAGCCCCCGGGGTGCCACCTTCAACCAGTCCCTCACCCAGCGTCTGCACGCTCTGAAGTTGCAGAGCGCCGACGCCTCCCAGAGTCGTTCGCAGCCCACCACTCAGGAGCCCGAGAGCGCAAGCGAGGGGGAGGAGCCCCAGCGCGAGCCCTTAGACGAGGATCCTCGGGACCCCGAGGAGTCAGAGGAACGCAAGGAGGAGGAGGCCAGGCAGCCCCGCCGCTGCAAGACCAGGAAGCCCGCCCGCCGCCGCGACCAGTCCCCGGAGTCCCCTCCCAGAAAGGGGCCCATCCCCATCCGGCGTCACTAATGGGTGACTCCGTCCAGATTCTCCTTGTTTTCATGGATAAAGGTTAGTTGACCTGACCAACCTGGGGACCCTGAGACAGTGCGGAGGGGAGGAAGGGGACAGGTGGGGAGCAAGGTGGGAAGGGAGCGGTGTCCACTAATCAGCCTAAACCGCACCCTGGGAAAGGAGAGAGGGCTCCTCAGTTTTTTCCAGGGCACCCAGGGGCGCTTGGGAGGCCAAAGGTTTGTTGGACGGCGAGGCTTTCCTGATGCCTCGCTGGAGACAACCTGAGGTCCCCGAGCTGGCACCCAGTGTGCGACACTGAATTCTGAGAGCGCTCCAAGTTTGGAAACGCATACCTAAACGGCAAAGGTAAGTCACTTGTTTTCTACAATTTTTTTTTCTCCCTCCTAGAAAGGTTAGCCTGCAGCACTGGAGTTGGCTTGGGCTAGAGCCCACTGGGATCTACAGAGGTGCGCGCGCCAACTTGGGCGATCTGAGAGCTGCTGCGCCATAGCTACACTGTTGCAATGCGCAGATAGTAACTAACTGCGCAGGAATTGGATTAGAACTCTGGAGCCTGTAGAGCAAAGTCGCACGTGCGCTCAGCCGGCGCGGGGCCTGGAAATCGGGTCCCGGAATGGCCAATTTCGTGGCTGCGGGACCCTGGAGCCAGTGCCTCTCCCGCCGTGCAAGCAGTCTTGGCCAACACCGCTCACTTCTCAAGGTTTGCGGAGACCCAGAGATCGTGAAAAGGAGCGCGCGCACCTCTTCTGTGCGCCCCAGAGCCAACCTTCCGGCACAGATAGGCGTCTTTCACTAGTGAACGGTGCTTGGAGGGCACAGTGTAGGTACAGGGGCCTTTAGGGGTGCCCTTTTGGGCGAGCTGCGTTGGCAGCACAGACAGGATCACATCGGGTTATAGCTAACCTTTTGGCGCAGCCGGTTGGGCGGATCAGACTTGTCTGGAGAGGTCCGACACTGTGCGCCTAGGTCCTAGAGGCAGGGAAGAAGGAATGAGAGCGGTATCAACTGGTCTTGGGCAGAAAGATAAAGTGGATCAAGGCATAGGCTGAGTAAGGGGGCCGTGGATAGCACTTGGACACCTTTCAAGGCGTCCCCAAAGATCGTGCCACTTCCCAAGATGTCGGATCCTGCGCTTAGAACCCAGAGGGAACAGGGATGACGCGCTACAGCAATACTAGCTATCTTAAACTCGGGTGGAGCTGTATTTGGAATCTGTAACCCTAGGGGAGATGGCCAGTGATAGTCAGCTATAGTCCCCAAACTGCCGTAAGCACGTGACACACGTAGGAATGTTTTCCTCGCCAGCCTTCGCGGGAAAGGCTGATAAAAAGTAAAACGCACCTACTAAATTTCACCCATTTGGAAACATTTTTCCCCCCAAAGTGCGAGCGTCTGGTCATGCGGCGGCTTGAGTTACTTTGATGGGATGATTTGGAAAATCTGGTTAAGGAATGCTTTTTAAGGCTTGAAATCAAAGAAGGCTGGGCTCCTGCGCTTCTCAGAGAGCAATGCGAGAATGCATTACGTAGTCTCCTTCCCGGTCCTAACCTCTTTCCTTGGGATGGCGTCGCCGTCCCCAGAACTTAAGTGAGGGTGGGCTATGTGCACTGCGGCTAATTGCGTCTTTGATCTACGTAGGGAATGAATTTGTTAGCGGTGGGTAAAGGACGTGCGGGTAGCCTGCGAAAAGGAAGTGGGGGCTTTTGGATTGAATGAGTGAAATTCATCTTTCTGAAGTTAAAATTCTCGACAGGATAATACGACGATCGTGACGTTTTCTTGACGTTAGGTGCCATTTTATCTGGGGATGTTTTGGTAGTGCGAGTTTACCAAGCAACAGGTTTCTAGTTAACAGGTGGAGATGCCACGCTTTTCAGCGTGTCTTCTCCAACGGGGAAGTGTTTCCGTCAGAGTTGGCTCTTTATTAGCTAAATTAGAATGCTGCCTTGTTGCCGGATGAATAAAACTTTAAAAGCGTCTTCAGTCCCTATAGCCCCCACCTCACCTACATTGCTCCTTTAAAAGGAAGCCCAGAGTCAGGCGTGGTGGCGCATGCCTTTAATCCCAGCACTAGGAGGGGGAGGGGTGTGTGAGGCGAGTGGAACTCTGCCTTCAAGATCAGCCTGGTTTTCAGTTCCAGGACAGCCAGGGCTGTTAAACAGAGAAACCCTGTCTCAAAAACAAAACAAACAAAACAAAATAAGAAAAGAAAAAAAAAACAGCAACAAAGAAGCCTAGCTGAGCAGTATGCCAGGCTCACTTCACACACGGGGTACCCAAACAGAAAGGCACATTTTGCTGTCTCTCAGTAATCTTCAAGCTCTACCTGTCACTGCAGATGCATCTGCACCCCAGTCTGCTACCCAGCAGCAGAACCCTTCCCCCTTCCTAGTGCTACTCTGACTTCAAGAGAAAAAGCCCAGGGGGCATATAGGAGTATAGCACACTTGGGAAAGCACCCACCCACCCACACAAGGAAAGGTTTTGCTAAACACACATTTCAAGTCTACTTTCTGTGAAATAGAGATTCCAGTCAGTGGGGTTCAGCTACTTTCTTTCCTTTTCCAGGGGCTTTTCTAGCAGGTTCTCAAACATTTCCAGCTCCCTAGCTTCCTAACTGGCCCTTTGTCTTACGCGGTTAAGCCGGGGTTAGCATTTGAATGGGCTGGCTTTTCCTTTAACAGAGGTAGAGTGGCTGAGGGAGACTCACCCTGTGAAAACCCGACCGCCGACCCGGTAGACCCCAGCCAAGGGGGTTGGGGATGGCAGCAGAGCTAGTTAAAATTCTGTGCCATAATATTTAGGGTTCTTCACTGCATTAATCGTTTGCTTAATGGAAAAACTTTGCTTCTATAGAGGAAGAATGCTCTAATCATTGAATTTAAGTGCCTTTCTTTTATGTGGCAGCGTTCAAATACCATGTGATGACAAAGCCTAGATTAAGTATTTTTTTAGTTTAACAATAAGTGTTATAGTTGTATTTATGAGCATTGGAAACTGAGATGGGGATGTGAACTCGTGGAACAGGCTCGAAGGTTTTTTGTTTGGCGTTGCTTTCATGCACCTGAAGCTAAAGCTTCTTCTATTCTGGAATTGTTTGCCACCTTTGATCCTTTAGCCTTCATTGTTCGTGTTCGGTTAACAAGAAATTCGAAACAGCAGTACTACTGGTAAGAATAAAGATTTTTTTCTTTTAAAAAAAGTATGGATTTTACTTAATTTCTCTGTGTTGTCACTGACGGGCGTACAGGGTGGCGATTTCTCACAAACACAAATCATGAAAATCTAATCCAGCAGAGCCAGACAGAGACCAGTGATGTCAACTCAAATATTGCTCCCCTCTAAAATAATGCCCAGAAACAATATGGGGTACTCAAGTTACACTTCTAATCCCACCCACAGCGAGGGATGTATCCCAAAACCCAAACAGGGCAGCAGAATCACAGACAAAAGGCAAAAGATACTGGGATAGCCCAGGCTGCCTCTATCCCACCCTATTTACTGGCTTTAGTCCTCCCTACCACCCCCTCCCAAATTTAGTTAACTAAAAAGTACCAGCTGTGAAGAAGTCTGTCTTGTGTTGGTCTAATATTAGTTTATCAAACATGCTTCTCAGCTCATGGCAAAAATGAATTAAGAGGGCAGGGAGAGAATGCAGGATTCACTACGTCCTGTGTGGGTGGAGGCTTTCTTGAGAGCCCACCCCCTGCATTCTCCCCTGGAGATTAGTGTCTACAATGAACCTTTCAGAGCCTGTGGTGGTGCATTCCCGGTGGGGGACGGCTAGCTGTAAAGCTTGAGGGGCAGCCGATTTGACAATTGCACTTTAGATAAGGACAGCTTAGAGGCTCTGCCTAGCTGGGGTGGGCGAGCACGCCTTTCACTCACCCCCCCCACCCCCGGCTTTTCTTTAGTGGTCTCTCTCTCCATAAAATTTTAGTACTATGTCATCTTTTATGTATTGCAAAGCCTGGTTATAGCCAAGTTCACACACACACACATACAAAATATGCAGAAAAATAATAGACACATAAACAAACATACATGCACATACACATGCCAAATTTGGCTCCGTTGCCTGGGGCAAACAAAGCAAACACTTCTCCCCAAAATGGCGTCTACAAATTAAGTGACTGGCTTACTGTTACAATTTATTTTATGTTTTAGTTCCTTTTCAGCCACACACACACACACACACACACACACACACACACACACGTGTCAAATTTTACTAGTATTTTTCTCAATCTATTTGATAGGGTGGTCCCACCACAACCAGGAGGCAGGACAGTACAGAGCTGGCGAGCCTGAGCGGACAGACAACCTAGAGCTTTAGATTCTGTCCAGGAGGCTGGCAGAGAGCCACACGGTACTCAGCCAGCAGAGGCAGGACACCCGGGGGGGGGGGGGGGGGGGGGGGGGGGGGGGGGGGGGGGGCGACTTGACACCTCTACTGTGGAGCAGGGAAGCTGCCTACACTGCTTCAATTGTAGGCAGAACCTGTTTTTTTACTATGGGCCTATTTTAGGGCAAGAACATTAAACATTGGCAAGGGGATGTGGCTGTTCCAGGGCTAACTCAAGCTGTAAGAACAAGGGATGGCTGGGGGCAGTAATTTGGGGCAAATTTGAGAAAGACAAAAAAAAAAAAAGGGTGGTGAGATTACAGGGAGTAAAGAAGCACCCATGCAGGAAGGAGCTCCAGACCAGGAGGAAGGTGACAAAAACAGTAAATTTATAACTATGCAAAAGTATTTTGAAGGGTTTAGGAAGAAAAGGGCTGGAGATACAATCAGATAATGGCTGGCTGCAAGTCTCTGGCAACTGAAGGAGTTAAAACCAGGTGCAACAAGGAGCAGGTGTCACCTCTAAGAGCCAAAGATGGCCACTGATGAGGATTTCAGATAGTCACCCTGAAATCACTGTGCCCTCATAGTCCCACAGAATTTCAACTAGCACAGGAATTTCAACTTAATTTATCTACAGAACGGAGTTTTCAAACAAATATCTCAAATTCATCAACCAAAAAGACTTAAAAGTCAGTAATCTTATTTAACAATTTAAAACCTGAGCATTGGGTTTTGACTCTAGGAAGGACAGCCTCTGAGGCTTCCACTTTCAGACTTGTGAGTGAGTCCCAAAGACTGCTGGGCAGCAGAAGCTGGCAGGTTTCCCCTTCCCCCAAGGCAAGAGCTGTCTGGGTGTCCTGGCTTATGTTGCTGCTCCAATTAGACTTCATTAGGAAGATTTGCTTTGGGTAATTGAGGTTGTGTGAGAAGGTGAAATACACCATTCCCCTTAAATTCAAATAGCATTCAGGCCCCAGAAGCCCTCAGGGTGCCTGGAATTTCCACCAGGAGTTACAGAAATCTTAAATAGCTTTTCCACTAAACCCACCCCCACCCCTGCTAGCAGCCTTCCCTGGTGCTGCCCTCCCTCAATAGCCTCCGCAGCACCCTTAGCTGCTTTGCACAAAGAAACCACAGCACCGCGTGGACACCTTGTGTGGCTGCAAGTGGCAGGGGCACGACAGGCTGAGGCACAATTTGGTGGCCCTGCTACAAAGAAGGATGCGATTGAACCCCTGCTCACAAGCCTGAGCTTTATTTCATCCAGAGCTGATGGGGTGGATTCATAAACATCATCTCATCCCCCTAATACCCGCCCCACATCAGCACCGCGTCCAGCGTCTTGCCCTATCTGATAGAGGCTTCTTTCCTTCAATCAGCATGTGCCTCAAATACTCGCCACACAGCCCCTTCTGCAGCCCCTTCTGCAGAGAGCAGTAAGCTGCTGCTGCCTCCACAGGCCAACACTGGCAGAGGTTCTGGCAGAGAAAGAGGGGCTGCAGCAATCTTAATTGAGCAGTAATTAATTGAACAGTTTCAAAGTCTTATTGCTACTCAGGGAAGCACTCAGAAAACCTTTGTCACTGGGAAGATTAGAAACTTAGTGGTTGCCCGAATTGTTTTTTTATTTTCTCTTTTTCCTGTGTCAGTTTCCTGAAAACCAATGGTACAAACAAGAGCTATAGTGCAGAGAAGGCTGCCCCTTCCCCAAAGCCACAAACCAAAGGAACCTCAATGCCAATGGGCTTGCTTTTCCTCTTGCTCACTCTACCTCTCTGCCTCCCAAGGGCCTTCTCTACTTGGCTACAGGGAAGAATCCAGAGAGTCAGGATATCTGGAGGGGCCTTAGGCTTTAGTCAGGAAAAAAAAAAAAAACCTAAAATGTAAATAGAAACACAATTGCTGATCATATATAAACACAAGTCTAAGTTTTGAAAGCCTGGGGTATCACAGGAAAGGGAGACCACATGGTTTCAGTTGCCCTTACTTTCAAAAGGACATCTGATTTCTCACTTGGGCATCTGGGTTGGCTGCACTGAGCAAGTTGCCTTTCCTCAGAAAAGCAGAGTCTAATGGAGGCATGAGTAATGCGTCCATGCTTTTCTAATACAGCAAATCCTGTTCCCCAGACGATAAACCATCATCTCCCCATAGCCTTCCACTCTAGCACATTCCGCATGAGGATGAGGTCAAGAGGTAGCTTAGCTCTGGATCTTCACACCTATTCAGCCCTCTTCGGGCACTCACTGGCCTGTCTTGACTTCCTCTTTCCTTGTTCTCAATCGCACCTCTGAATAGTCCCCTCGCCCCTTGTCTATAACAAAGTCAACTGCAACAGGGAAGACACTGAACATCCTTTGTCAGGGAGCGGGCGAGATGGGTAAGCAAAGGTGCTTGATTCTCGGCACCCACAGTGTGGAGGGAACCAGCCCTTGCAAGTTATCTTCTAACCCCCACATGGGCACATGCACACACCCAAGTGTGTAACACACAAATGGGAGAAAAAAAAAAAAAGATCCTTCGTTAGTGTCTAGTTATAATGGGGGAGACCATTAAAAATCTCATTCCTAGTAGGGTAAGGCCCCAGCTCAGGTGTTCCCCTCACCCCAACACACAACGCCGAATCTTCTCAACACATCAGACATATACTTCTCTATCAATTCAGCAAAGTCACCAGCCTCCACAGGCTCACAACCCAACAAGGTGACCCCCAGTCAACCTGCATGCTAATTATCTCCAGCTCTTACCATTCTGGGTTTTCCAAGTCCTTGGGCCAGGCCATCCAGTTATCTTCAGCTTCTCCAACACCTGGCTCGTCTGCAGGGCCCTCTTGAGCCATGCTGCTGGTGTACAACAGCCTCAGCACTTAGCCCCACTCATCCAACTCACTTGCTCAGTAACTAGAGGAAAATGAGAGGGGGGATCAGGATTAAGTGCTGAGCTCTATTTTTCCCAGTATGAATTTACCTTTAAATTAAAATGGTTTCTAGTCAAGTGAAAATATTCTTTCTCAGTTCTTTTCAGCCAGGAGTGATTTTGCATTCCAGAAGCTATTTGGACAAAATATGAGGACATTTTTACTATGGCTACTAAGGAGATGCTAATGGCATCTAGGAGGTATAGACTAAGGAAGCAATATAATATCCTGCCACACACAAGACAGTCACCATAGCAAAGAATTACCCCAACCTAAGTCACTAGTGCAGAGGGAGCGGCCCTCACTTTGTCCTCTGGAGCCATCCCTGGTCTCAAATCAAATATATCCCTTTTATTCTGACTATCAGAATTTTTATCTGATTCAGTGATCTCAAATCCTAGTAAGGTTGATTGCCAATTTGAATGTATGCTTTCTACCCTTTTCCTAAAAGTCAGACCTTTCCTTCCCAGAAACAGGTTGTAAAGATCCGCCCCAAGGCGTCCATCTTCCTTTCCCATCTGCCATGTCTGAAATCAAACAAGACTCTTTCCTGCCTCCATACCAGCCCCTCCCTGGCTTCCCTCTGCAGTTCCCAGTCTTGGATTCTTCGGCCCTTTGTGACCCATCTAACATAAGGGCTTTCAGGGGGCATCAGGAAACCTTGATTCCCTTTTTGTCACTGTGGCTGGGTCCCCCCCTTAAAGGACTTCCGCAGCTGCAGCCTTCTTGGTACACACCCCCTTTCCTTTGTTCCCTTCATCCGAACCAACCTCCATGTTGGTTCTGCCTTTCCTAAAATTTGACTCAAATCCTCATCCACAAAGGGGGAGAAAACACACCTTTTACCATCTAATCCATTTCCTCCTTTTCACTTCCTGCCAAAATAGCCCGGATGCTCCATGGAAGTCTCAGAACGCCCATCCAGTTGCTTTTTTTTTTTTTAACCACCCCGTCTTTCCCACCGCTTTTATAGGAGCAAAGGGGTTCGATCGTTTACGCGACAGGGACCCACACTTCCTTTTGTAGGATTCTTTGTTCCAGATAGGTGAAGGTGTGCCCACCCTGCCCCGCCCCTTCTATTCACAGTCAAGACATCTTTCTATGGAGAACCATTCGAGGCGCCATTTTCTCCATCCGGTCGGTCTTTGCAAACCCTCCGATTGGAGGCCTTCTCTTTTCATTTTCATGCCGTTCTGCTTTTTCGCAAGGAGATTGGCACGATCTGTTTCTTTTTCCCAGTCAGAAAAGCACGATATGAGAAAAAGCGTGGAACAAAAGATTCCCACAGACCATGAGAATGTCTGAACAAAGAGAATCTGAATCCTTTTTTTTTTTTTTTTTTTTGATGAATGTGCTTTAGGAGCGGGTGTGAGAGGCCTGGGAAGCCCAAGAAAGCCGCGTGGCGGTCTCCTTGGGTCTCAAACCTCAGCGTCTACTGACCTTCCACCTTGTGCAGGGTTCAGCATCCCTGGAAAATGACCTCTGTCCATTCTGTCCTGCTCGTCTCTCTCTCTCTCCAGGGGCCTGGATCACCATCTCCAGGCCCTGGAAATGCTTCTTCGCGGTGCCTCAGCGGTAGCCATCTCTGTAAAGAGGGTTAGCAAACCGCCATTATGACCCCAAGGGGTGGATCACGGGAGACCCCGACCTTCCCACTTGGCCTTGGCGATTAAGAGCATTAAAAAGATTGACCCTTAAGGCACCTACGGCGCCCGTGGCCTTCTAGGCCTGGTCGCCATACGCCCGCCCGCCAACCGCTTGCAACCAACCCAGCAAGCACAACCTCTTTGGGCGTTCCAACGCGGCGCCCCCTATTGGACCTCCCACCCATATCCGGTTTCCGGTCTGAAGCCCCCCGCTCATTCGCCAGGCGTCCTTGATTGGCGTGACCCCAGCCCAATAGCTGACCTGACGCTGGGGTCGGAGGGGAGTGGGTTGGTGGTTAAGATTCAGTTGGACCATTCAGAGTGTGTTCAAATTGTTTCGCCATTTTGCGTGGGAGTAGTTGACCGAAACTTTGGACCAAAGTTCAAAGTATTCGGCATGGAGTGTGTCGAACCGTGTCGAACCGTAGAGCTGAGGGCACGCGCCTTCGGGTGGTCCCAGGGATTCACTAGGGGTCCACTTTGTCTGCTTTCCTTTACTCGGGCGACCACGTGGATGCTGTAGGTAGGGCACAGTAGTGTTCTGAGCCTGCAGTGAGAAGAGGGGATACGTTAGACTTCGGAGAGTTAGAGCTTGCCGCGGTGCACCCGCATGTGTCTTGCAGTAGCCAGCTACATGGTGCATAATTGCTGCAATCTACCCGTGTATGACTCCACAGTCTTTCTCCTACCCCAGGGTCCCACAGGTCCGACAACCACCTACCCACTGCCTGGCTGCACTGCCAGAAAAGACAATGCCTCACGCCATTGCCGACTGGTGTGCGTGCCGCGTTATAGGCTCTGGTCTGAGAGCGGCCAAATTTTTTTTTTTAAACCAGCCCCTGCTTTGAATTCCTCTGAAGACCCCAGCCCTACGACGTTTTGTGTTTCATTCACTGAGCCCACTGGACGATGCGGCTGTTTACTTCTCGCGGCGCGGCCCCGTAAGGGGCGCGCAGCCGTGGACTTTGTGGCCGTGCTTAATGCAGCCTGTGTGTACTGTTGCAGTTCAAAGAACAGCATCTCTCCGCGGTACTCACACGAGAAAGAGAGGGACTGGCAGGGGGCTGACAAGGGGATGGAGAGGGGTTAAATGAACTGAATACCGAATCGGCGGCAGGCCCTGGAGGCCGGAAACTGTGGGTCTCAGTCACTCTTAGTGCCGCGGCACAGTTGGTTGATGATTAATGCGTATCGGTTTGTCTAGTCCTTAAGACCCTTCTAAATCGACTATCAACCACATCCAAAATCGCCTTTAACCCTCCCCCAGAAAGCAGAAGTCGGAGGCCTGCATTACATATGGGTCTTCCGGTAAGCCCCGTACCCTCTCCCCTATCTGCACGGTAACGGCCGCGGCAACCACGGGGACTGCGTAGGGGTCTTCGCTTGATTTTTCCGCAGTGCACCGCCGAGATTCTTATTTCTACTGCGTCACCATCCACATAAAGCGAGCCCTGACTGCATACATCACGCTAGGCCACCACTAAGATCCCCTCCCCCCCAACGTACAACGGAACGGTGGGATATTGAAGGGATTTACCGGAGCTATTCTTCACAAACAGCAAACAAAAACATAAAAAATAAAATGAATTAAAATAAAACGACTCCGGAGCATTTTTAAAAAACAAATTGCGTGTTCGCATTTGGCAGCCTCTCACCCTTTGCCTCTTCTCTGCTCTTCCGGTGGGCTCACGCCCACCTGTCGCATTTTTTATGCGCGTGCCTCTATCCCTTTACATTTATCTTAAAAGCTCATTTTCCCGACTGGGAGCTGAGTATGCGTAATTGCCTGAGTCTGGGGTCTCCGGATAAGGGGTTTGCCGCACACTAGGGGTAATCTTGGGTGATAACGCCCTCCTGCAGTCCCTCCTCCCCCTCGGGAAGAACCGGATGCAGAGGGAGGGATTCAGCGCCTGGGCTCTGACAGACCAATGCCCACGCCTTACGTCACGTGTCCCAGCAACGCAGGAGAGCGTGCTCTCTCTCTGGCCAGAGGAAAAGCGAGCAAGAGAGCCTCAGCATCAGTCCGGGAGAGAAGAGGAAGGAGTCGAACGTCCCTGTCAGGCCTGCGTTTATCAGCCCCCTTACCCAAAGTTGGGAACGGCTGGCACTGGGAGCCAGCCTCCCGGAGCCGGCTCAACACTGAGACCGGCGTCCTCTGGCGGCTGAGAAAGAGTTTTGCTAACGATTTTCGAGACGAATCGGCACGCTCTGGAATGCCAAGAGGGCGGGGCTAAAGTTAACAAAGTAAGAAGAAAGAAGAGAAAAAGCCTCTGCGTGGCTGGCGGACCGCAGTCTGAACGGATAAAGTTGACTAGGAAGTCTCCAGGCTCTCCCAGGAAGAAATAAGTGACTTCAGCCATGGTTTTGGGTTTTAGACCCTGAGCACCTGTCTTTACAAAAGTTGGAAACTGAGGCTGGAGAATTTTCCAGCCAATTCTTGAATTTTTTAAAAAAAATTTTTTTTCACCCTAGTTTGGCTGGGTGCTCCGTCTTACGGGGCCCCAAATTTATTTTGAAAAACCGCCAAAGTGTTATGGGCATGCGCAACTGCCTCCACGGCAACAATATGCCAGGACAACACAATATCCCCGCTGAAGTCGGCGAGCAGCCCGAGCAAGAACCTTTGGAGGCCGCAGGGGCAGCTGCCCCCGGTGCTGGGCCTGGCCCAGCCGAAGAAATGGAGACCGAACCGTCTGACAATGAGCCCGTCGCCGACGAGACTAGCACTGAGGTCCTTGGAACCCCTGAAGTCTCCAAATCTGAGTTCCAGGACCTCAACCAGGGCATCGAGGAGGTCCGAGTGGGTGGAGACTACAGCCCACCTCCAGAGGAAGCCATGCCATTTGAGACCAAACAGTCCAGCCTCAGCGATTTCTGGCCCACCTTGGAGCAGCTTGGAACATCTGGGACCCAAGCAGGCATCAAAGCCTTTAATCCAGCGCTTTTGGAGCCCAGGCCCCCCAGTGGTGAGAACCCAGGCCTGGGAACCTACAGCCCCCCACCAGAAGAAACCATGCCATTTGAGTTCAACGAACCTGCCCAAGAAGACCGTAGCCAGTTGCGCTTGCAAGTCCCAGACCTTGCTCCAGGAGGTCCGAAGGCAGGAGTCGTCAAAGCTCTTCCCGCGGAGCCCGGGAACCTCAGATCTGCAAACGCTGGCTTCCGAGACGACTACAGTCCTCCACCAGAAGAATCTGTGCCATTTGGGCTTGAAGGAGAAGAATTTGGGGGCGATAGCCCACCCCCAGGACTCCCCCGCGTCATCCCACAAATCGGCATTGGCGGCGAGTTCCCGGCAGCCGCGGTCCCGAGTGCGCTCAGCCTCGCTCCCGCCGAGAACGCGCCTCCCCTCTGGGTCCACAGCGCCATTGACAGACCGTTCAGCGAGGCTATCAGATCTCCTCCTAACTTCGCATGCGACAGCCCCCCAATGGAGATCTCCAGACCCCCGCTTGAGATTGGCAGAGCCTCCACTAGGGTCGACGACGACACCACTGTCAATATGGACGGCCCCCCAATCGCAAGTGATGGCCCGCCCATCGAAGTCTCCGGAGCCCCAGATAAGAGCGAGTGCGCAGAGAGACCCCCAGTTGAGCGAGAAGCAGCCGAGATGGAAGGAAGCCCAACCACCGCAGCTGCGGAGGAAGGAAAAGTCCCTTCTCCGGAGAGAAGAGACGGATCCTTCGCCGAGCCAGAAGCCATGGATGCCAAGCCAGCCCCTGCTGCCCAAGCCGTCGCTGCTGAACCAGAACCTGCCGCCGCCGCCAGCGGATCTCCTCCGGCCCCAGCAACACCCACGGATCTCCAGACCGATTCTGAACAAGAAGTCGGAGCAGCTCCTGCTGTCCGAGCTGAGCCTGACGGAGGGGCAGCCCCCGTCGCCCCAGCCACCCCTGCCGAGCCTGAAGAGGACGGCGAAGCAGCCAGCGGAGTTCCAGCAGCCGGAGTTCCAGCAGCCGAGCCAGCCTCCGAGGCAGTCCCTGCCACCAAAGCCGAGTCTGCCTCCGGGGCAGCCCCTGCCGCTCAGGTGGAGCCCGCAGTCGCGGCAGTCTCTGCCACCCTGGCAGAGCCTGCCGCCCGGGCAGCCCCTATCACCCCTCCGGAGCCCGCTCCCCGGCCAATCCCCACTGCCAGAGCCCATCCAGCTGCCGGGGCAGTCCCCGGAGCCCCAGCAATGTCAGCCTCCGCTAGGGCAACCGCCGCTAGGGCAGCCTATGCAGGTCCTCTGGTCTGGGGAGCCAGGTCACTCTCTGCTACTCCCGCCGCCCAGGCATGCCTTCCTGCCCGCGCAGCTGCCGCCGCCCGGGCAGCCTCTGCTGCCCGGGCAGTCGCTGCCGGCTACTCAATCTCTGACGCCCGAGCAATGGCTATCGGCAGAACAATCCCTACCGCCCCAAGCAGAGCCCATCTTAGACCCCCCAGTCCCGAGATCCAGGTGGCTGATCCGCCTACTCCGAGGCCTGTTCCGAGGCCATCCGCCTGGCCAGACAAGTACGAGCGTGGCCGAAGCTGCTGCAGGTACGAGGAGGCGTCGTCCGTCATCTGCGAGATCGACTCCTCTAGTGATGAGTCGGAAGAAGGGGCCAACGGCTGCTTCCAGTGGCTTCTGCGGCGAAACCGCCGCCCCGGCCAGCCCCGGAGCCATTCGGTCGGATGCAACCCAGTGCGCAACTTCTTCGCCAGAACCTTTGGAAGCTGCTTCGGTCTCTCCGAGAGATCCCGTTCCCTCAGCCCGAGGAAGGCCAAGGATCCTTTCGAGGAGAGGCGCAAACAGATGCGCAAAGAAGCCATTGAGATGCGAGAGCAGAAGCGCGCAGATAAGAAACGCAGCAAGCTCATCGACAAGCAACTGGAGGAGGAGAAGATGGACTACATGTGTACGCACCGCCTGCTGCTTCTAGGTAATGCGGCAGCTCCTGCCCCTGGGCTGTAGGGCGGCCCCGGGCACTCTGGGAGGGGGTGGCAGGGCCTTCCGGTGGGGCTTGGTCCTTGACCAAGGGAGGAGGGGTCCGGAAACCCTGCTAGAAGTTCCAGGGAGGGACCCCAACTCTGCCCTGGGGGTGGGAGAGGGGATTTTGCGAGGGTTCGGGTGGCAGAAGTATATGCCCTTTAGGGAGAAAAGTGGTGCCGAGCCACACTGAGGGTCGTTACCGGCCGGAGGCCAGCGCCAGAGCCAGCGATCCTAGGCTGGACAGGCGGGGGCGTGAGGTGAGCCCGGAATTGCTGGGGTGGGCCCTTCGGGGCTCCCCCAGTTTGATGTTTGTGATCGCGGTGGGCTAGGGCCATCCGGGTGCGCGCCCCCGCCTCGCCTGGCTGCTTCGACTCAGACAGCTTGTTGTTGGTGTGTGTTAGTGTCCATTTTCTGTGTTCGCCTGTGCATGACATGCTCAGTGTGTCCCAGTTTTCATCCATAGCACCTTCAATGTACCCGCCGATTGTGTATTTGTACTCTAAAATGGGCTGTCTTGTGATTTGCGCCATGGCGCGAGCAAAACTTTCCGTGTTGGCACACTCTGTGAAACCTCAGCGCGGACTCTCAGCAGCGAGCAGAGAGAAAATACGCAGGCAAAGGTGGCTGGGCATCCTGGGTAATATGCCGGGCTGCAGGCGGGGGGGGGGGGGGGGGGGGGGGGGGGCCGTAGCCGCGGGCCTCCATAACCTTTTCCCCCCTGTATGTCTTTCTCCCTTTTTTTCCTTTGCGCTAAGCGTTTCCTCACTTCTCAATTCGTACGTCAAACCCTCCCGCCTTAACGGTTGAAAAACCAGACACTCAGGTATCTGGGGCTTTGGGGTTGTGAACAACGTCTGTATTTTGTATTGTGCGCACACACACACACACACACACACACACACACACACACACACATACTGGGCCCACCTGGGGGGAGGGAAGAGGGAGGAGGAACGGGGGACATTTTAGCCCTGTTGGCAAGGCCACATTATAAACACACGGGGTTGATTTTTAAGGGGGTGGGCGTGGCTGAGTTTAAAAACTATATGAAATAATTTTCTTCTTAGCGAAGAGCCCGAGGTAAGCCAATCAATCACTTAACATTTTTACAGCCTATGGTAGGAGGGGCCCTGGTTGAAAAGGTTGGGACTTCTGCTGGGAGGGCAATGTTGCCTTTGTATTTTAATTGCAATTAAAAAATAAAAAAATTAAATACTTTTGAGTGCATAATGAATGTGTGGACAAGCATGGGGCGCTGGAGCTATGACTTGTGAACTGTGTCAATGTTTGTATGTGACTCTTTTTCAAGCAGCTTTAGCTGGGGAAAGAGGACAAAGGTAAGATCTTTTCTAAATCAGTTTGGGGTTTAAAAAAATAAAGACTTTAGGATGAAGATTGAACAAATGTTATGGCAGCCAGATGGGTGCCTTTGGAAGCTCTCATCTCCCCCCCCCCATCTGCTCAACTTGTTCCCCAGCTCTCCATGCCCCCTCCCCTCGTCAAGACCTCTCCCCTCATTCCACAGCCAGAGCCCCCCCCCCTGCTCCAGTCTTCTCATCTCCAACCTGAGGCATTCATTCTTCTTGCCAGATTAATTAGAACAGCAATTAACAAAGTCTGGATCTATGGCTTAAATAAAATCTTCACGAGTGAATCTCTCCGATTAATTTCCTTTATTCTCTAAAACCTGTCAAGGGATCTCAAGACCATAAGTGTCTGAGGCTGTGCTACGTTTGACTGCTAAATATTTGATAGTCTTTGATGATGTTTATTTAAAAAAAAGTGACTGTGCTCTTGCAATGTGCCTCCTCTCACAAATTGTGACTTTAGATGGGATGGTCATTTTATAGATGGGATGGTCATTTTATTCGTGCCTACCTGGGGAACTGCTGGGATCATTGAATCAAACACATGAAAAAAGAAGTAGTTTGAAATTTACAAATGTCCCCGTTATGTGAAAAGCATAGGGCATTGCAATGACAGGGTTCTGGTCTCGCTGCAGTCCCCATTTCCATACTCCGGGAAGCTGACCTGTGATTTGGGGGGTTTGGGGGGGCAATGTCTGCAGATAAGAGGCCCGAGTGACTATGCACATCTGAATACAGTGCCCCTTACTTGCTGGGGCCTCAGTTGCCTCATTTGAGAAATAAAGTTTTCTTAGGAAATTTTCATTAACATGTCCTCCAGCACCAGGATTTGGGTCTTCTGCTTAGCCCCCAGCTCCAAATCAATTAGAAAGGGGTGGGGGGCGGAGACTTACAGTACCCATTAATGCAGCTCTCTGCACCAAACCCCATGTTTGGGGCCAGGTTCTTTCAGAATAATAAAAGCTTCCCTTGCTTTCCCTAGATTTTTTTTCCTAGATGGGATAATTAAACCAAAACAGAAGCACATTTGTTGAGGTACTTTGGTACCATGCTGCCTATACTTTGTGGATGACAGTCATTACAGACTTTTGGAAGCAGCAGCATCCAGAGCAGGCTAGGCTGCTCAGCCTTAGCCTAGGCCCTGCCTGAGCCTGAGCTAAGATGCCCATCGTCCCCTGCTCCGTGAGACTGCAGCATTGCTATCTGCCAAAGCAGGCTGCAGTCCCCACCAGGCTACTTTCATTTTGCTAAAGTAACAAGACAGGGATTGTATCCGGATCCCTGCTACTGACTGGAGAAGGGGAGAAACAGAAGGGAAGGATTTACTCGCATTTAAAGGACTTTTATACTAGCTCTCTAGCTCCACCGTGTTAAAGAAAGTATCCGAGCCTTCAGACCCCTGAAAATGCAGATCAAATGACCATCCTAGAACATGCTTCTTCGCCTACCCCACGCACATCCATCTGTTGCTTAAAAAAAAAAAAATAGTGTTTTTCTGTGTGCATAGGCTGTTTTTATTGCCCAAATATCATATTGCTGGAATTATTTTTAAAGATAAATGATAGATAAAAAAGATAGTTTAATAAAAATTTTATAATATCTAGAGAGCTGAGTTTTTTTTTAATATAACCTAATCACAGGCTGTTTCCATGTTGCTGTTAGCTTAAAATAATTTTGAAGGTTAAGCCTTTTTCTTTTTTTTTTCTTTTCAAAATGTCATTTAGGTATTATTCCTTCGGTTCTAACGGGGCTACTGGATCAGAATTTTTTTTTTTTTAGTATCTCCTGCCTTTATTACAATTGTGTTAGCTAAACACTATACATAATATAACCACTGTAGTGGTACCTTATTTATATAGCAAATCACAATTAATTGTATAATAACTTATTTGGCTGCCAAGTGGTACGATACTGTACTGCACCTCAACGTGCGAAGTGATTTTTTTTTTAATGCAGCCATTTTTTTTCCCTGAATTCAGAATGCCTCTGCTGAACTGTTCGCCGTGGGAAGGGCATAGCTTATTGCCCCCCCCCCACCAATTTTTTTTTTTTTTGCCTTTGCTTTTGCCTTTGCTTTTGCCTGCCTACCACTAACATCTATGTTTTGCAGAGGCTCTTTAAGAAATTTCTATTTCTCTCAAAAACATTTTTATCCTAAATAGGTAATTTTATTTTTAGTTTGTTGACATGATTTCCCATGAAAAGATGGGAGGACACATACAGAACTGGGACCATCTCCTGCATGTGTCCCTTCCTGACTTGAAAAGGGTGGGAGACCTCAAGGCTCTCAGCATTGTTAGTGGCCAGTGGTGATGATGGTGACAGGTTTAACTGCACTTTGCATTTAAAAAAAGTGTTCCATCTAGTCACATTCATACTTCAAAACAGTTGTGGGTAATAAAAGCACCCATTGCATAAGCATTTCCATTCAAGTCATAAGGATTAAAGGTTAGGGACCTTTCTCTTCTCCCAAAGGTTGTGAGGTGAGGATGAGGAGGCTCAGGCCTCTAGTTCTGAGAAGCTCCCACTCACCACGCCCATAAGAAAGATCCTCAGAGCTGGGGGCATGACTGTTGTGGGTGCTCCTCTGGTCTTACAACCCCCCTTTATCGACAGGTGTCTACCAGGCTGCTGCCTTGTGAATTCTAGTCAGGCCCTGGGAGATCACTGACTGTAAACACGAAATGTATGCGGCCCATTTGGGGAAAGCCATTGCTGTGGAGAATTAATACCACCTTTGCTTCGTCTCACCAGCCCCATCCCACAAGTTAGAATGCATCCCCCCCTTTTTTTATAAATAAGAAGAGTCTCGCAATAGTTTTCTTTAACAGGGCTCAAGCTTGTAACAACATCAATATCAGTAATAGCAGCAGCAATTATTATTAATTAATAATGATATGCTTATTAATCACTATCATCTAATATCATTAATTTAATATTATTATTAATTAATAATAACTGTGATATCCTTGCTTTTATGTTTATGTTCCTGAATGGGGAATGCTATCATATACCAAATTCTGGAGGAAAGATTACAGGGCCCCTAATAAGTTTCTCTTCCTGGTTTTAGAAGAAGAAATCCTGATTTTTGTTCACAGCCTGGTCCCATTTTTCCATTTATCAAGAATCTGTGTATGATTTTGAATAGCACTTGTTTTGTTTTATTTTAATGCAGGAAAATTATTGTAAGCTAAAAAATTAAAGGCAAGGATAGACTCATTGATTAAAACTGAAACCCTCAACTCTAGGCATACCCCCTTGTTTTCAAAATCAATTCCCCCTTCAAATAAAATGTGCCCACCCTCTTCCTAGCAAAGCCATGGCTTTTCAGATGTCTCTGTGCTTTCCAGAAGACACACAGTAGCAAATGAAAATTAGTTTTTGAACTTTTTTTTTTCTTAACCTATGACACAGGTTAAATGCACCTTTCCCCTCCCAGGGTTTTAATGAAATTAAAGTTAGTATGTTTTTGTTTTTCTTATTTTAAAATAAAACTTCACAGAAAAGATAGAAGTTTTTCAAATAGAAACAACAGGGCCAAAAGGAAGAGACTAGGAGCAGTGGGCAGTGGGCTCCACCATCTGTGGGTCTCCCAGCAACACACAGGATCTGGTCCTGACACCCACCTTGGCAAGTTCCTTAACCCACTGAATGGAAGGCATCCTTTGTCCTAGGCTGACCTAGGGACCCCTGACCTAGGGACCCCTGACCTCGGGACCCCTGACCTAGGATTAAGCTCTTCAGAGGGAATGAGAAGAAAATGGATCTGGCCTTTCTTTTGTGATTTCAGATGAAGACTCTTTGAGGTCTTTATGCAGCTTAAGAATACGAGCGAGCAGTTTCAAACACAAGCTAGCCAGAGGGGGTTTATTTCCAAAGACTTTCCTTCTTAATTCCCTAAGAGAAGGGACAGACCCTGGAGGAAGCGTTTATTGTCTGTGAGTCCAGCGCGTTTCATGGGTGAGAGCCCCCGAATGTTGAGTTTACAACTTCTATTCCCCCTTTCTCTCTTCCCAGTGAGGTTTTATTTCTCATATATTGTCAGCGAGGGATTTTTAACTCATGCCTAGGCACCCTGTGCCTCCAGCCTCGACATTTCATCCTTCACTCTTTGGACAGAGTTTGTAAACACGAGTCAACTCGAGCAATAGAACAAACGACACCTTGCCAAATTTAGAATTCTGTGGTAATGTGGCAGAAGAGGAAGAAAGACGTCCTGAGAGGGTTACCTTTTCTTCCCCCATCATCTGTCATTCTTGCTTACCCTTCCTCCCCCACTCTGCTGCCATCAGCTGCCTGTGCATAAATTAATTCAGTACTGTTTCTAGCCCAGGGGTTGGAACGTGCTTATTTTACATGCAAAAACAAAGTGTCTTTAGTCTCCCTCCCCATAACCAGATCACGGATGAAACAGAGCAGCTGTTGGGACAGGAAGAGGACGAGACCCCCATGAGAGAGGTAAGGACTCCCCCCACCCCATGTTAACTTTTCAATTATTGCCAACTATCACAGGCTTGAATGCTTTGGTCTCTGACGAGTTAGAATTATTGGAAGTGTTTTGCATATGCCACCCTGGAAGCCATAACCCAAGAGGAGCATCAGGCAAGTGACTGTGACAGAACCACGGGAACTAAGGACGTGTGCTTCTGTTATCCTTAGAGGTACAACCCCATGTTGCCTCACAGAGTTGGTTTGTTAAAGCTCAGGAGGAGTCAGGAACTTTTTTTTTTCTTTTTTCTTGACTGTAAAGTTCCTGCCCACCAGACCCAAACCTTGGACCTTACTAAATTTTAATGATTCGATTTGGGGTGAGGAGAGAGGTACAAAAACCATATAAATCGTTACAGGATTTAAAAGTTGATGTCAGTCATTGTTTCTGACACTGTCACACATGTTTTTTGGGGGGAGGGGGGCGGAGCAAGTGCTCGAGACTCCGTCTAATGAGAGGATAAGGGGAAGGGAAAGCTTATATACCTACCTTCTCAGGAGTATCATGGTCGAGCTTGCTCACTGCCACTGCTGACGAAGACATCAGAACAGTCAGCTGGATTCTCTCTCCTGAGCTGCTGGCTCTGGCCTGTGCCTTCTGTCAAAAGATCTGACTACCTCTCTCCTCCTCCTTACGTGAACAGTTTGCCTCTCGTCAAACTGGTCACTAATGTGTAACCGACTATGAAGACATTCTTACAGGTAACCCGCACACAGGTAAGTCCAAAACTGGATTTTTTGAAACAACTGTCAACATCCATAGTCACAATGACACACAAAATCCACAACGAGGCACTGAGATGAGCCCGGTTTTCCAGAGCTGCAAAAGAAATGGGGACTTAACTGCAGCTGCATGTCCTGCAGCTTAACTGGTAGACATGTTGAGTCCCCCAGGCTCCTGAGACCCATCTCTGAGGTCTGATCCCTGACTTCTAAGGCAGCATAAGTAGCTTACAGGTCTCACTGGCTTCCTCTTTCCCCCCAAAGGATGAACTGTTAAAGAGTAGCTGGCATCCCTGGGGTAGTACATAGGTGCTGAGGACCATTCAAACACATCCTTTCAAAACAGCACTGTCTATAACTCAATCTATAATTATCTATGGTCGTTCCTATGTGTCTAGAGGACCGGGACCAAAGCACGAATGGTTGCTTCTTAGGAAAGGCAAAGCTTATTTGTAATTAGTCCCTAAATTGTTGTGATTGTTTTAACATGTGTGGGAAGTGTACGTCTTAATTCCTGGCATTTGCATTTCAAGTGGCTCTTCTGGGCCTAGTATATGCTCAGGCAGCTTCTCAGTAAAGTCACCCGTGTCGTGCAGGGGCCTCCTGCCCATAGGAAAGCCCAGAGACAGTAAATATGGGTTGATATTTCAGGTGGCCACTAGATGGTGAGGCAGTATAAGCAGAAGAAGGTGGTGGGTTTATATTGCAAGTGAGAAAGGACAGGGAAACCAGCAAGGTGGGGGAGGGCCTGCTTCACTCTCACACGGCCTCCACCCCAAAGAGGAGGCCCAAAGGGGCCCCGAAAGTTTAGTCAGACCCACGTTATTTTGTATTTTAAGCAGTGACTTATTCTTTTAAGCTATGCATTGAGATTTCAGGAACATTTAAAGGGATCTGTTAACTGAGGGGTTCTCCAAGCAGCTCCGTTAACATTTTGCCACGGCGGGGGAGACACCATCTATGCACTGTAAGATATTCCGAGCATCTCTGATATCTGGTTATCAGACATACACAATACCACCACCATCACCAACAACCCACACACATTACACACACACACTCACACAACCACCACCATCACCAACAACCCCCACACATCACACAGACACACACACACATATAACCACCAACATCATTAACAGCCATCACACATTACACACCCACACACCACTGCTACCAGAACACCTTACTACCACCACCACACAGAGATGCCCCACAACTATCAACACACACACACACTACCATCACACACACAGACGCCCCACAACTATCAACACACACACACACACTACCATCACATACACAGACGCCCCACAACTATCAACACATACACATATACACACATATACACATAGATGCCCCACAACTATCAACACACACATACACACACTACCATCACACACACAGAGATGCCGCACAACTATTAACACACACACACTACCATCACACACACAGAGATGCCCCACAACTATCAACACACACACACACTACCATCACACACACAGACGCCCCACAACTATCAACACACACACACACACTACCATCACATACACAGACGCCCCACAACTATCAACACATACACATATACACACATATACACATAGATGCCCCACAACTATCAACACACACATACACACACTACCATCACACACACAGAGATGCCGCACAACTATTAACACACACACACTACCATCACACACACAGAGATGCCCCACAACTATCAACACACACACACACTACCATCACACACACAGACGCCCCACAACTATCAACACACACACACACTACCATCACATACACAGACGCCCCACAACTATCAACACATACACATATACACACATATACACATAGATGCCCCACAACTATCAACACACACATACACACACTACCATCACACACACAAATGCCCCACAACTATCAACACACACACTACCATCACACACACAGAGATGCCGCACAACTATTAACACACACATACACACATATACACACACATACACAAACACATGCACACATATACATACACACATACACACACATGCACACACACATACACACACAGAGATGCCCCACGACTATGAACACATACACACACATATACACACACTACCACCACCACACAGATGCCCCACGACTATCAACACACACACACACTACCATCACACACACACATACACACACACTACCACCACCACACACAGAGATGCCCCACAACTATCAACACACATATACACACACATATATACACTACCACTACCACACAAGATGCCCCACGACTATCAACACATACACACACACACTACCATCACTACCACCTACAGCCCCCACTGCACACATTGCACACACCATACTCCACTGCTATCAGCAGAATACGTCATTATCACCACCATACACAGAGATATCCCACTATCATCAACACACCCACCCACCACCTCCCCACACATAAGTGTGACAACCCAAAACTCTGGTCACCACCAAATGTCACCCATGATTGAGAGCTGCTGCCTAGATTTAATCCATCCTAGCCCTGAGGATGCTAAACATATACATGGCCTAACTTGTACACAACAAACAAGTCCTCTGAAGAAAAGGTGCCCCTCTACGGACCAGTCAGCAATGTGTATACTAATGTTAGTGGGTTGCATTCTAAGATAGGAGCAATTTCCACAAATCTCCAAGAGTGACCCCTAGATGACCCTAAGCAGAAGAGAAGAGGAAATTATTTCAGGCAAATAAACAATGACTTGATCTAGGACTCTGATAAGTCAATATCTAACTAATCAATGGGCAGGCAGTATCAGGGCCATGTGGACTTTTAACCCTTCACCGCCAAACACAGTGTTTGTTAGGTTGCATTAACTGGTGTCATGTTAGCCTGTCCACCTCTGCCTGGAGTGTGCCAGTAAACCCTGTTATTGTAGAAGGGATGTCTAGACAACAAGGGACGTGCTTGCACCTTCTGTGTACTTACAGACATTAGAAGAGCCTTGAGTTAGCCTATGCACACCAACCATGAGGATGTGGACTCCAAAGACGGCCATCCATTCGTGGGAAGGTGACCTGTCACCTTTGAGTGGTGGCAGGAAGAGCGGAATAGCTGCACTGAGGGAGAGAAAAATCTTCTAGAAAGAAAACAATGATGCCAATAGAAGCAACCGACCAAAGAATTTTCTTGGCCAAAAGTGTTGTACTTGATCTTCGATAAAATGGCTGACTCTTTTCCATCTAAAATCAGCATCCATACCCATGTCTACCCATGAGAATGAGGGTCAGCTGTCACACACTCCCCAGCTTGTGCCTTACCTCTCTCTCTGTCTGCTGGGGATTGAATTCAGGGCTTCATGCCATGCTGTCCCCGAACTGCACTCCCAGCTTCTGACTTTTTAAAAATAAGACTTTCCCTATCTTTTTTCCCCTCTTAAGGAACAGAAGATTTTTATACCCCAAAATTAGCCATGGAAGGTGGGAAAGTATCGCTTGAAATCAGAACTTTCTGCAGACTCACCTGAGTGTCCCAGGCTCTGCTTACTGAAGTGCCCCTAACAGGAAAACTCCTCAGTGAGCAGTCCTAGAAGTGACTCAGGGGAAAACCTCAGAATGTTGATTTTGAGACTTTGCCTGGGACCAAGTACAACATCTTTCCAAGGAAATGCTTAGAAGACTCAGGGCAGAACCCAAAATCCAATGCCAGATGTTAGGGGGAAATTTTTTTTAAAGTTGGGTAGCCAAACCCTCTGGGCTGTTTATCCATTACTGTCACGCGGCTTCAGGTTCTTTCCTTTCCACTGTTAGAAGGGAAGTGCAGGTCATTTTGTTTCACCAAGCAGACATGCAAGTGAGGACTTAAGACGGACACTTAAGAGGGACCCCTCTCTCTAGTGGGAGTATTTGGAAATTTCCCAATGAGACTCCACATTGTGGCCTTCCCAAGAAGGTTGTCTGATAATGGGGGTGGGGGTGAGCAGAGGAGCCCCAGCTTCCGAAGAGGGTCCCAGAATGATGGAGAAAGCACCAGCTTAGGCCTGGGGGGATTTCCTGGAACCTTGGTTGATTTTAGGATTCCATGTACTTGTCAAGTGATGTACAAAAGCTGTCGATGAGTCTTGAAGTATTGACAAGGCTTCAGGTTGACCCGAGGTTCTGCCATGGTCAAAAGGAACCAAATTTGCTGAGTTGTTTACGAGGAAGCCGGAGACATCCTATGCCCGCCTTGGTGTATATAAAGTTTTACCAAGGTGGGGTTAGGACAGGAACATTACAGAAAGTGGGGTCCAAGCAGAAAACTCATACTTATTGGTCAGACAAATCTAAAACTCTTGTAGCTAACGCTCACCCCGAAACTCAAGGTGACAGGAAGCAAAGACCTTCACCCCAAACTCCTGTGAGATCACACATTAAGGAAGGTTCCAGTGAGGGAGTGGGATCTCCAGGGAGGAGGAAGGGCCAGCGTGGCTACCTTAGGGAGAGAAGGGAGTCCATCTCATTTCCACCCCAAGTTCACAGAGTGCAGAACCCAGGGAAGAAGTAAAAGCCCCTGAGGAATTTTATCTGTTTGTCCTCTTCCCATTCTTTCTTTTTTTTTTCTCCCTACTTTATTTTTCTTTCTATTTTCAGATTTTTTTTTAAAGTAGGATCTTTTTGTGTAGGGGGGTAGCACTTCTGAGCCAGAGTTTATAAAATACACATCCATTTTAACAGAAAGAAAGTAGAACACCCACCCACCGTTTAAGGCTGGAAGCAGGAAAAACTTAACAAAGCAAAGCTGTTCAGAACTGGCTGGCAGATGGCGCTCGGGGTTTACAATTGAGAGCCTGGCTTCAGAAAACTCGCGCCTGCGCCTGCCTCAGGCAGCACTCTGGGCCCCCTCCCTTCATCTTTTTTCCTAGGAATGTAGCTCCGCTCCAGGCCTAGGAATATATATTTTTTAAGGTTTTTTAGTTTAGCAATTGACATCTGGGGACAAATAACCCCACTTTGGGAACTTTGTGGGCCTTAGGCAGGTCAGAAAGATAAAATACAATGGGATATAGCCCAGCAGCCTCCAGTTTCAGGGCTTTGATCTTTTGATTAACAATGGTGAGCCCTTATTCTGCCAGGAGCCAGTTCTGAGACCCTGCACACATCTTTTTGTCCCTTTAGATCCCAGTTTTCCTCTTCTAGGGAAAAAAGGGGGTGGGGGTGTTTCTGATTTTAGAATTTTTTTTTTAATTCTCTTAAGAGAAGTTTAGAGTAGAGGAGGTTTGCCAGTACCCTAGGCATCGTGCATGCGCACTTTGCCAGTACCCTAGGCATCGTGCATGCGCACTTTGCCAGTACCCTAGGCATCGTGCACGCGCACTTTGCCAGTACCCTTGGCATCACACACCCCCACTTTGCCTGCACCTTTGGCATCGCACACACCCACTTTGCCAGCACCCTAGGCATCGCACATGAGCCTTTGCCAGTACCTTAGGCATCGCACATGCGCCTTTGCCAGTACCCTAGGCATCGCACACGGGAACTTTTCAATGTGTCCCTACCAACATGGCAAATGATGTAGGAAAAACACCTTAGGCCATCTTTTGTCTTTTAACAAATGGCTAATCGTTTCTGGGAACCTCATACCTGGGAACCACTTTGGGTAGCAGCAGAGTTCAGGAGTTCATCCTCTTCCATTAAGTTGAAGGCTAGGAAAGAGATAGACATATGCTTCTAGGAGAAATCCAAGGAGCCTCCACGGAGGAGAGGACGTTTTAGACACTGTGGTCCCTTGTTTCCAAGGATGGTACCTTTGTACTTACCCTGATGCCGCTGCCCTGTTTGCTCCACAAGCCGCTGAGGAAGGCTACGTGGACTTCCCAGGAAGAGGCCACAGGCTTCTCTGCTAGGAACTTACCCCTTCCCCACTAAGGCCAGCCTCGGCACTCCATGCTGGTATGCCACCTCCTCTATTGCTCTTCTAAAACATAACAGTCAGAGGAACAAAATCAAAAGTATTAATGAAGGCAAGCATTTCCCCGACTCTGCCATTCAAATTTTTCTTTAAAACTTTCCTATAACATTCTTCCCTTTTTCCCATTTTGTCTTTTTTTCCTAAAGATTTTAAAAGGCTTTTCTTGACCCTTTACCCCCTCCCCCAGGGCTTCTGATATGTGACCCTCAAGGTGGGCAGCAAGCTATTAACCCCTCCCCAAGAGTTAGAGTAAGGTGAGCAACCCTCCTAGCACCTTCTTTGGGACAGTGGAGTTCCTACCCACCAGAGGTCAGCAAAGAGCTCTGAATAGCTGGGTCGGCTTGCAAATGTAGGAACTGGTAGAATTCTCTAGATCAAATGTAGAAAACCCCAAAAGAAAACAGACCCCCATTTCAAGGGTATCCTTGGGAGGAATGCCATCCTATCTGCGGTCCCCAGGTGCTTAGTTTGAACACCAGTGGAGGCACTCTGTGCTTTGGAAGGAGACATAGGTTTTGATCTGTTGTAATTTGATGGATTTCTTTTGCATGCCCCCCTCAAAACACACAAATCCTTCCCCAGTCAGAGCCCACGATCTCCTAGAGCCCCCTAGGTTCTCTTAGAGGGAGAGAATGCCCTCTTTCTCTTCCCACAGGACTGAAAACCCACACTCCCCACACACACTTGGCCTGGCCCCTTTTCTTTTAGGAGTTATGTTTATTGTTAAAATGGCTTTCTAAGATTACAAGAGTGCCCCCAACCCAGCCCCGCCCCTTATTCTCCTTTGATTTTACTTCTTATCTCTGGCTCCTCCTCCTGATGTGTAGCCTGTGTTTATTAGCCAGGGTTTGCAGGGGTTTTATTTGGCTTCCCCAACCTAAGCACACACCCAGAGGCCAGGTCCCACATTCTGTCACCTTTCCACTGATTCTTGACTTAAGTTAGCCTTTTCACTCCAGTAGGGGAGGGGGTGGGTAAACAGGGATTCCTCTCCCCTCCTCACTTCTCTCTCTCTTTCTCTTTTCCAAGCATTTGAAGTCCCAGGGTCCTTGAGAGGCATTAGTAAGTTAAGACCAACTCCCTCAGACAGTGTACTGTTGCGGGGTGGGAGGGAAGGGGAGAGAGGTACAAAGGAAGAGAAAAAACTAGGCACAGAAATGAAATAAGAAAACCAAAGTTAAGGCAAGGGATAGAAGAAAGAAAATAGGAGAAACACCTTCGCCAAGTTTAGCACTAAACTCCAGATGAAGTCCCTGCTCTGTGGAAACTTCTGGTCTTGGAGGAGATCAGGGTTTCAGTAATAATAGTAGCTGCCCAAGCAGGGGGAGACAGCTGAGAGTGACCTGGAGTTCTACACAGCTGAGGGCTGACTGAGCTTAACCAGGGAGGCTCAGGAGCATGGCTCGATTTTAGGACCCATGTGGGAAAGTGAGGACCAGGAGGCTGTGGATGGAGGCAAGATGGAGCCACCGTGGTCCTCTGAGGTCTGGCCACTAGCTTCTTTCCCAAAAAGGCCCTATTTACTTTCTTCAGAGTCTCTTTGCTGAACCGAAATGATCCTGTTGCGTTTTTAAGTTGTGATTACCCTGCCCCAGCCCCCCCCCACCCCCACCCCACAACCAGCTTTTCCAAGTGTTTCCATGTTTCTTCACTCACTAGGGCTTTTGGTTTATTTTGTTTTAAACAATCTGGCACACCACAAACGTTTTTGTCAAAAGCAGAAAAACAAAACAAAACAACCCACCCTATCTTCATGAGTCCTTTGATTTAATAATTACCCAGAACAAAGCCAGGGCGAACCTAAGGTTAAACGTGAACACTTTGTACATTAAGTATACATTCCAGAAATCAAGGAAATCCTGAGACCTTTACAGGTTGATGGCCTCAAGAATTTGGCTCCAGTTAGGTCCCATATAGGCATTGTTATCTATCTCTTTTCCCCCTTCCTTCCTCCCTTCCGTCCTTTCTTCCACCCCACCACCCCACTTTGAAAAACAACTTTTATTCTCTTGGGGTATCTTCAGTTGAAAAGGGAAGATAATTCTCTCCAGTAAGGAAGAGAAGAGGGGGGGTGAGTTAAGCCAGAGGAGACAGGACAGATTGATGGCTCTGCATTGGGGTCAGGGCACAGTCTGGGAGACACCATAGCCAGACACAAGTCAAGAGAGCACAGCTTCAGCTTCCTGGCTGCAGTGAGAACTCTGTCGGCTGCCTTTCTGTGCCCTGTGCTTTATTCACTGGGTCAAGTTTAAAAACAAACAACAACAAAAACCCTACACAATCCTGCCCCAGTTGGTTGTGCTAGGACCCTATTCTTCTACATTTGGGCCTTTAGACTGAAGCAAAGCCACAGAGAGAAAGGGACTCCAGGCCAGCCTTGCTGAGCTCCTTCTCATGGTTCAGATTCCTCCACCTGGAAAAGTTCTTCATCCTCCCCGGCAAGTGCCAAGAATTAGAAATGTGTTGCTAATTGATTTGAGCCGAATTTGTATTGCTCTGAGACTTAGGAAGATGGCTTGGGGTGGGGGTAGGGGGAGCGTGCAGTCACTGTTCTAAGAGCCAAGAGAAGGAACTCACCAAAAGTACACGCACACAATGAGCCTTCTGTGACATTTTGAAATCACTGGGGGGTAGGGGGTGTCACAGTGGTTCTTTAGGAAGAAAGGAGGAAGATTGGTGGAAAGTGTTGAATGGCAATTTAGCAGAAAATTGACAGGCCTGACGTAGGAAGAGAGTCACTCGAGCATGGTTCCAAATGAGAGCAGCTGTCACAAGCCAGTTCTTCACAGTTTTGACCGTTGGCAGAGCTCAGGTTTACTCATAGGACGATTCTGTTCCCCTTGGCAAAGAGCATGGGAAACCATCTAATGTGCTATCCACATGAGCCCATTTTCCCTCATTGATAAGTTGCCCCCAAATTTCTAGTCAGCTTGTGTGTCAAATGTTGTCTCCTTTTTGCCCCCCCCTAGCAGCCTCACTATGCATGCAGTAGGTGCCCACACGTCCATCACGCCTCGCAAGAGGATGAGTCCTTCCCGGGTCGGTGAGTCTGCCTTGATCGGGCATTTTTATTCATTCATTCATTCAATCAATCATTCAATAGACATACACTGAAGGTTTGATATGTGCCCTTCCCCATTGGGGAAGTCAGACTCTAAGACATGGTTGCTCCCCTTGATGGTCCTGTGGTTAAAAACAGACCCAGGAAGCGGACAATGGTAGGAGATTTCTGGGAAGGCATTCCATGAGAGCAGATACCACTGCTCACAGATGCAGAGCCATAACTAAGCTGCAGACCACCCAGAAGAATCTGTCTTCTTGGGTCAAAATAAACATCTGCATCTAGCCATCCACAGCCCTACCAACCTTCCTCTTTCCATGCCAACCTGAGACTGAGGGTTTCTGTGTGAGCAGTGCTGACTGAAGCTCCCGTGGTCATAGGGTAGACCTTAGCGTTGATAACTCATCTGTCACAGGACCAGAAGAGGTCTTTTAGTAGGAGGTGAAGTCTAGAAAGTCCTAGCCATGCTGAGGGTGTAGGCTTGGGTCCAGAAGGTGCCAGGTCAGGTATGGTACTAAATACTACCTTTAGGTTGCTCTCACTTTCCTTTCCTGCTTGGTACGGACCAAAGTATACCTTTCAGGACTGAAATCCCCTCAAGGAGTGGGCTCTGAATTCTTCCACTCAACCTTAAAATATTCTGTCTGTGTTAAGGACAGCTATTTAGCTGGTAGGATGGGGAGAAGTTTATGATTTGTAACCAGAGGTCTTGATATACTCTAGAGTATTTTCATACTGGGCACAGCCCTCTGCCCTCCACCTTAGCCCTAGTCCTCCATCTTAGATCCTGGACAGCCCTCCATCTTAGCCCTAGTCCTCCATCTTAGATCCTGGCCAGCCCTCCATCTTAGAGTCTGGACTTAAGGCCTCTTTTACCTGGTCCCTAAATCCGATAGAAAGTCTGTATTCAAATACTATCATTAATTCTGTAGAATGAAAAATATCTAGAATTTGTTTTAAGCTTTCCATTCACAAACACTTATAGGCTACCTATATATTTCCCTTGGAATAGTAAATCTTAATCTCTAAGTCTCTGATGTTCAGTCTAGGTGGGTTCCATATATACATATATGCATCGTTAAAACATACATACATGCATGCATATAGGCTTTTCTCTGGAAATACGCGATTTCTTTCAGATGACTGAACTGAAAGAATTCTTTAATGAGCTTTCTATAATAAGCAAAACTCAGGTTTATAGAATTCTGAACTTTGATTTTTCAAATCTCCACCCTTCAAAGGGGACTGAAACGGGGTTGCCTGGATTTCTCCTTCCCTACACAGGGATGAGCTCAGAGTGAGTCTGAGAGGTGGGGATTTGGCCCAGGCCTCCTTACAGGCCTGCAGGTGGCTGTGTTCTGTTCAGCTAATCCCATTAGCTGCCAAAGGCTTATAAGGTTACTGTTTAGGGACATTTGCATTTTAATAAAGAGTTCTGTGAGGCCAAAAATGAGGAAAGAGTCACATTTTAAATAATGAAGCCCCTAGCAATAGGCAGGGACGCAGAGGGGGACAGGGAAGGCAATTTGGGCCATCATTGCCCATTTTTCTCACTCCCATTCTTCCCTGCTCAGGACTGTGCTGGCCCTGCAACTACCAGTGGAGCAAGCAGTTTTTTCCCCATCTCCTGTGATTCCAGAATGTGGATGGTGCACTGGTAGCGTAGTCACTTTGCTTCCTTTGAACAGGGAGTGGAAGGTGCGGGGCATAGAGACAGGAACAAGAAAGGAAGTCTGGCTAGTAAACAAGCCACAAACAGCCTCGTTGTTGACACGCTTCATGAATGGCTATGTGGTTACAGCCTGAACAACCCCGTGCTTAGTGGCACAAGCTGATTGCACACCTTAGCCTGGAGTCACTCGGAGCTATATTGACAAATAATGATTTAACCGAAGGAGTCATGGATAGACATCCTGACTTGCCAGATACGAGCATACCCTCTAGAAACCCAGAAGCCGGCCAATTAAGCTCTCTGTGTAACAGGCCTTTCTGAGATATATATTTAGGAAAAGGAAATTATGCAAATTGTGAAAGCTCCTGACATGTGAGTCTCTGTAAAGAGTAAATATTTGAAGGTAGGATGGACATTAGGAATCCCACCCATAGTGTGCATTTGAATATATGTCCACTTGTAGCAGCTGAGAGAGCTGAGCATCCCTTAGGTTTTATTATTATTATTATTTATAATGTCACCTACCTGCAATGTGCCTTGCTTGAAGCTCTGTAATGGTTAATAGGACAAGAATAACAATGTCACAGGATGAGGCGTTACTGCACAAAGACCCTTCTCGGTGTCACAGCACATAGAAATGACCCTCCCTGCAACTGGGTGACACTCAGCTGGAAACAATGTTTTTAATTATGTGTATAAGTTACACCTTTATTGCGAGCCTGCGGCAGGAAGGCTGGCAACGACAGCAACACACACACACACACACACACACAGTGCTTTCCCTTCGAGCATTAAAGGCGTTAGGATTTTATCTTCCCTGATCGAACTTATACACTTCCTCTTAAAAAGCTTCCTCTTGCCCCTTAGCTAAGTCAACAGGGAAAATGGCTTCTGTGTTTTGTTAAATTGTGGACCCTGATGATGACAGGGATGCAGAGCCAGAGGAGGCTGTAGATATGGTCCGCTCCCCGCTTCGAAGCAGACACAGTCTGGTTCAAAATATGGATTTTTCTCCCCACCCTCGCAAGGCTAGGATTTTACTTAGAACTCTCAACTACCAGCTAAAATTTCCATCACTAAAGGGGCTGATTTCAGGCAGAGAAAGGGCCACTTTAGCAAATGACAGAAAGGAAGAATCCTGAGGAGTCTTAACTACAGCAGAAAAAAAAAATCAGCCATGCCATTTCCCTGACAGCTTTTTAATCATGGTGAAAGAACAAGATGTTTTCAGGGTTTTTTTTTTTTTTTTTTTTCAGAGTAGTCCTGTGTTAGGGGAAAGGAAGAGACCTCTGAAATGGACAGGGGCTGCTGGAGTTTGGGGAGCAGGCAGTTGTCACCTCTGAGTGATGAGAGAATCTTAGCCCCTCCCTGCAGGCCACGTTCCTCCAGCCATGTCTTCATCTTGCTTTATTCTACCAGGAGGACTGTGAAAGGGAAGCCGAGCCAATCACCTGCTAGCTGCTGGCTTCTCTCTTTCCCTCTGTAGGGTGAGAGGAGATTTAACCCTCAAGCTGGTCCACCTGGCTGGTTCTTAGCTCCGGTGGCCAGAAGGCTTTTCAAGTGGTCTGCCACACACACTCTGTTGAAAATTATGCTTTCTTTAAGGTCGGTGTCTAGGTCAGATGTGCCATGCCAGGGGACTTAGAACTGGAGGGACACAGAGCCAGCAGGCCCAAACACAGGAACCCCTGCAGCAAAGGCCGTGTCGCAGGGCTGGGAAGCATCAGGGACCAAGATGTTGAGCCTGTGTTCAGGTCAAGCAAGAATCAGGAAGGTCTGAGTCTCCCATCCCATCTCTGGCCTTATCGCTAATCCTCCCTTGATCTCAAGCAAAGGAACTTACTCGGCTTGCTCGAAGCTCCCAAAAGCATTCTGGCATGGGCCAGAAGGGAAATGAAAGCATTCCAAATGCTTTCTTAGAGATGGAAAGAGCTTGACTTCTGGGGATGGGCAAGAGAAAAAGGAGTAAAATGCATACATCCAAGGTTAGCTGTGAGATTCCCTGGGGGTGAAAGCAGAAGCACACACGCACACGCACACACAAGCAGACATGCAAGGTGCCACCGTTTTCACTGCCTCTCTACCGCGTTAGGGCTCGCTTGTGGTGTGGAACATAAATGCAGGCTGCTTGAGAGGGAGCGAGCAGAAGACAGGGTCTGAGCTCTCATCTCCTCTGTCTGTGTAGTCACCACACACACAGTGTCTGCTAGAAGTGATGTCGTTTTTGAGACGGACCCCGGCGGTCTTGGATGGAGCACGGACAGCTACCCTCCATTCCCCACCCGACTCCAGGATACACACTACCCGAGCAGTTTAGGACCCCCCTCCCAAGCCCAGACGCTGGTAATTTTGATGATTATTAGCCGGCTAGCCGGCAGCTGACGACAAACCAGCCGGACTTAGGGCTTTGTGGTAGGTGAATTAGCAGCATTCACAGAGAAAACCACTTTGTTTTCTACACTCAGAGGATTAAGGAGCAGACTGCCACATCTGCAGCCTCCTCTGGGAGGGGGGTGGGGGGTCTTGGGCTGGTAAGGTGCATGGCAAAAGGCAAAGCCTGCTCCAGCCAGAGCAACTGCAGCCTCCTAGCTGCGCCAAGTCCAGGCAGGGATTTGTTCTTGATGCTGTGCAGGGCGATTCTGCCTGCAGCAGAGATACGGGAATGGCAATCTCTGATTTTAGTGAGTCCACGCTGGGGAAAACACTTGAAAATATAATAGGTAGACCCTGTTTTGTTTTGTTTCTCCCTTTCCTATTTGGGGAGCCAGGAGAAAGACGACAAGGGCAGCACCCCAATTTATCTTTCTGCCTGCTTAGATATTTCATCTGAGAATGTTTATAATTTGGAGGAGAAAATAAAATCCCAAACACCTCAGATAGAGAAAGGTACCCAACTTAGGGGGCAGAAAAAGCCTGCCAGACGGTGGCATTTTCAGTGTTAGAATAAGGAAAGTATTAGAGAATTTTGTCCCCTTGTAACAATAAGCAGGCACTTTGGAAAAAGAAAACATGGAGGTTTTTTAGAAACACGAGGTCATGGGATCCTAATGATGCCTGAAGGACTGGTCTCATTCCTCATGTCAGAATTAATTTTGGCAGAGATTAGATGGTTCTTCATTTACATTTAATAGAGCGCTGGAATAAAGGAGAGCTGCTAGCCTTATTCTGGCTGCAGCTTCACCAAACCGCCGCGGGTAAAACAGCCTCAGCGCTGCCCTTTCTTTCATCTCTGGAGCTTTGCTGCAGTGAATTTTGTCATTCGGCAGAACCTAAAAACCCAGGTTTTCCTTGATAGAAATATGTAGCACTTGCTGCTTCCCCTATAGCCTTCTATTGACCATTCCTGTCCTGTTCTTGTGGCCTTTCTGACTTGAGTTTTTGCCTTCAACCAATCTGGTTGAAAGTTCAATTGTGAAAAACGTCTGGATGTTTTATCCAGGCACAATCAATTCGCCTGAATATTTGCACCGATCAGCCACTACCAGCCCCATGTCACCCCCCACAAAGCCCACGTGCTGGGAAGGAAGCAATTTTTAGGAAACATATCTGACCATGAAGGGAGCCGAGGAAGGGTGCTTACACATGAACAAGATGTGGGAGGTCTCTTGCCTTCTCTGTGATAGCCATTTGAAGACTGCTGCAGAGAGAAGGTGGGGATGAGGAAGCAGGCTGGTCCCTGCAGGCAGGTGGGCAGGGAGAGCTGTATCCGCCAGGCTCACAGCAATAAGAGGGTCTGTGCCTGCAGCCATCTTAGAACATAGAGGAGGCAAAAGAAAGCAGTTAGCCTTTGCTTTGTCTTAGGTAATAGCCAGCTCGATCTAGTAAAAAAAAAAACCACAATGAGAAGGATTTTTATCACAAAAGAAAAATGTCTATAATTTTAGTATGGGACAAATAACTCCCCTCCCCTATTTTTTATCTCGCAGTCACCAAAACTGAGATGAGATCATCAGTTCTCTCCTCCTCTCATCTACATGGGCAATTTAGGCGGTCTGTGCCGGCAGTCTGTGCCGGCAGCCCCCCTCCTGTTTTATCAGTGCGGTAACAAGAGAAGCAGGTGGGAGAGGAGAAGGGTGGTGGCAGGCGGCTGCCTTTGTGTTTGGTCTAGTTCTGCTTGCAAACACCTCAGCCGAAGGGAGAATGCAAGCATCACCCCCCAGACACCACTCCTGGTCCATCTTCCTCATGTTCCTTTTGGGTAACAGGCCGGGTAGAACCAGATGTCTAGATTCCAGCTTTGATCCTTTATTTGTATTTAACAACCACAGCCCTTTGAACTTATGCTTTTAGCAGTTTTCTACATACTAAGTTTTGAGTGGAAAATTGAAAGGGTCAGCAGCTGATGGCTGAGATTTTTCAGTAACCCCGTGAAGCAGAGATCTCAGGCTTCTAATAAGGAGTCTTTGCAAATCAAAGCCTCCTTGCTGAAAGCAAGCAAGTGGTCGCTGGCAGCTTTCACAGAACTGGCAAGGTACCTGGGCAAAGGCTAAGCAAGACTCCACAGATAGAAATCTCTGTGATTTTGTTTGTCCCCGAGCTTTTCAGGGAGAGCTGTATCCGCCAGGCTCACAGCAATAAGAGAGTCAGCTTTTCAGGCTGCTTCCAGTTAGCTTGCTTGTTCTCTCCTCTTCTTGTCTTCCTTCCTTTTTCCGTCTAGCCTCTCTACCTCCCACCCAGGCACACGCCCTTAGTTTCCTCATTTGAGAAGACTCTTGTCCCTAGTTTTTCTTGTCATGGCCTCTTGTATATCCATATCTCTCTTTGCCATCTGCACCTCTCAACCAATTCTAGTAGATATGAAATTTTTACAAAGTCGAGGGAGCAATATTTAATACATTTAAGAACAGAGAAAGCAGATGAAATATGAAGATATGGTTGTAAATCATAGTATTAAGCTTGCCGACGGGGATCTTAGTCATCTATGTTTTTGTTTTTACCTTTAATCTATCTCTTTGATAGAAATTTAATTACAAAGATTATTTATGAAAGTCATTTTTTTTCAAGGTGACAATTACTTGAAATGACTGTTTCAGGAACTTTCTAGATGCTTGAATTTAATAGCTAGTTCTCAGACTTTGGTGTGCCTTAAACTGCCAGAAGTCTACAGTTGGGTTTTCAATCAAACTCACTATATGTTGTACCCATCTTGACCAAAGACGGTCCAGGGCCTTCACTCTACGTGAAGATGGCCAATGCAGGAATACTACTTGGTCTTCTTGACTCATCAAACGTGCCCTCATCTTCTTGTGCCTGGCTCAGGTTGCCTCTCACCCGGTTTGGTCTACTGTCCCTCTTACTACCCCTTCTATTGTTAAGGTCATCACACAACCCAGTCACTGCAGCCTAGTGAGGAACGCAGATCTAATGAGCCTGCTGCACTGGATGCTAGCTTTGTGCCACCTCCTCTAGCAATACCAATTATGGTGACATTTGCTCCAGGCACCGAAAGTGTCCCTCAGCTGAGCCTCGGGGAAGTTGCTTCCTCCTACAGAGGAGGGGCGTCTCTGCTTTCTGGTTCTGTGGTCAGGGAAGCCCTGCTCTATCCTCCCCCAAGGCTGACATTGTTGTTGAAATGTTGAAGACCAGGAACACATGCTCTGCTGTGCCTTTGGCTAGAGGCTTTTTCTTGGCTGGCTGTAATGTTGGCATTAGTTAATTGAGGGAAAATCTGAGTTAGGGCTTGCGATTCTATGCAAGCTGGGCATGTGGTGGGCACACCTGTCACTGAAGCCAGTGTCCACCGACAGCCCCAAATGTCAGAGATGTAGCATTCTTTCAGCATTAGCTAGCAGTTTACTGTTCCTTAGGAAAATAAACCATTCCATGGTGGCATTGCTCACCTGCTAACCCTTACGGGGATTCTTTGGAATTTGTTTGGCAAATAGAGACAATATTTCCTTTTTAGTTCCATCTTCTATAAGCTTCTTTGGTTTTTAAGGTAGAGTCTCACTCTGTAACTTAGCTGGCCTTTCAGTCATGGCAATCCTCCTGCCTCCTATGCCAGCTTCCAGGGTGCTGGGGTTTCAGGTGTGAGCCACCAAAACTCTTAAAAGGTCATTTCTTACACAGTGGATAGCAGGGCTCCAGTATAGCCCTCTCTCAGCCCCTTTGTAGCTGCAGCTGGAGGCTTCCAGGGGACAAAGTTCAGATTTTCCTTTCACTCGCACCTTCACCAACAGAACACAGATGCTTCTTTCAACAGCTGGGGGGTTTCCAGTTCCTTCTGTCCATGGACCTTTAAACCAGCCTGGCATCCTCAGAAATTCTTAATGTGTCTTATCATTTATGTAAATATTCTCCAAAAGCAACACACATTTTCAATGATGTAGCCCCAGTAGCTGGATCTTTCAAACTGGCTCTTAGTAAATGCATTGGCCGTCTATAATTAATACAAGTACCGGAAATCATCTGAAGAAATGGACTATATTTAGCTTTTAAAAGCAGTCTGCTTTGTATTCTTTGTAAGGTCAGCAACATTCTTTCAATTTGGGGGTGTAATCAGCATAAAAGGAGTCGTAATCTGAGAAGGTAGTAGAGACTAAAGCAAGGGACAGTGAACTTCTCCAGCACCGAGTGGTATGCAGAGATCCCTGGATAGGAGTACTGTGGGGATACCCGAGGTCTCTAGCTCATGAAACACAGCCTTTCATCCAATCACCAGGCTAGTTACAAATGCCCAAAACTGTCTGGCTACAGACTTTTCTCCAGTTCGGCACTTTGAGAGCTAGGCAGAGACCTCAGAAAGCCACAGTGCCATCTGGGCTCTGCTGATGTTGAGGGCAAGCAAACACCGAGTCGTGAGTCCAAGTAGGGGGCAGACAGCAACTCCTGCACAGCTCCCTTCCTTGTGGCCTTCCTCCACTGGAGAGGCTATGTATTCTACGGCCTGGGGGAAATAGGTGGAGCTAAGTAATAATTATACATTTTCCAATTTCAACATGTGTGAGCAAACACAAAAGATGAAAAGGTGCCTGCACCTCTAGGCGAATTAAACATGCGATTGGTTATGTCACATTGATAACTTAATTTGGGGCTTCCTACCAGCAGATAAAGAGAGAGCTCTGGAAAGTGAAGGACCCCTGGATCCCCATCTGGATCTCAGCTCACCCAAAGTAGGGCTAGTCAAGTCATTGCACTATTTGAAAATACATTTTGGTCAGTAAAAACCAAAGAGGTAAATGTATACCCAAAAAGTAACATTCTGCTACTTTATATAAATAAATAAATAAATAAATATGCCTACTCAGGCAGGTTTTTAACTACCCTACTTCTTACGATGGGATTAATAAAGAATTAAATGCAAGGGAGTTAAAATTCGACAGAATCAGAAAATAATTAAAATGTAAAAGTTTGGGGGGGGTATTTTTGTGTGTTTTGTTGACATGGTGTTACTCTGTAGCCCAGGCTAGCCTCAAACTCAAAGAACTCATCTTGCCTCAATTTCCAAAGTTGTAGGATTAGAGTCTTGAGTTGCTACATCCAACTTAATAAACTTATCTTAGCCGAGGAAATTTTATTTTAGCTGAGAGTTTAAAACCCCTCTTCTCCACCTAAGTCCTATTTCCAGTTGCACCTACTGGGTGTTTTGCTACCTCACTGTGTGCTCAGATGTCAGCATCTTGTCAACAAGTGCACAGTCAGCGGGAGAGTAGTCTGTGTGTAACTAGTCTCGGGCGTGGCTCCATCTTCAAGGGTCCAGTTAAACATTCTAAGTTACAGGTCAACCCACCCATCCCCTTAGCCCTCATGCAGCTTTCCACAAAGCTAGCGAGGGATGTTTTATGTTAGGGAAATTCACTTTCCTGCTGTTGTTGGAGAGAACCCTTTGGTATTCTTTTATGCAGTCCCAGTCTGCCAGGCTGCCTCATTGTTACCCTGCTGATGCTGATGTGCACCGAGGAAATGGGGCTGAGGGAAGAGAGCTCCCACAATCTCCTTCTGGTCCCCTTTTACAAACCGTGGGGAGGTAGTGAGGAGGCACTGATGACCTTGGGGATTGGGCTTCTGTGGCAGACCATGAAGTTCCTCTTGCAGGTGGCATTTGCCTATCTGGGTCACTGGTGGTCCATGAAGGCTATAGAAAGTCCCAGTTGTCCTCTTATTCTCAGCTATGGTTTTAAACACACGCTGTCATCAGAACCATTGGGTCCCAACACATTGGTCAGGGCGCCTCTCCATTTGGTTGGAATTAGAGTGAGATTCTACTCTAAGTTAAAGATACACTATTTGAGGAGTAGCTGGTAGATATTAAAGAGGACAGTTTTCAAAGGTTCATCCATGTCTTAGAATTTCTGAGATGACAATAACACATCATGTTTAATACAGAATATAAGTTTGGAGTTACTTTGCAATTGAAATACTAACCAGTGCATATGACAAGAAAAAAAAATGCCATACGTGGTCATGACATTGGATGTTTAAGAACCTTTAGGTCCTAGTATCAAAGCCTTCTAGTAGAGATTAGTCAGGCCTGGGAAATACTTCTTACAATACCCGCTTTCAGCTCCAATATGGCCAAGACTTCAAGTAATGTTTATCTACAACAACGGCTCTACTCATCTGTCTAATAAAGTGCAGAGTGTGCTTTGAAGACAGAATGCACCACTAAGTACTATTATTGAAACCTTACAGCCAAAGTTTCTGTTTCAGTGGAAGCCTATTTATTGTATCCTGGGCTATTAAAATAATATTATAATTGTATTTTCGCTAGACTCTTGGAAAATAGCTTACAATGACCCCACCTAATGAAAGGCCCGGGAGAACAGTCTTGTCCAAAAACTCAGTCACATTATTAAGTAATAACAATACTTAGGAGGTTCTGAGCTATGGCAATGTGGTCACTTTTGAAAGCAGAGGTGGCGCTCTCGCTCAGAAAGGAGGCTGCAGCAGGACTCAGGGACACAAACTCCCATCTATAAATAAAAAGCTTTCAAAGCCACAAAACTAAATCCCAAATTCATCCAAAGAAGAGTTTCTAAAACAGTCTGTGAGGTATGTGGTCAAGCTATGTGTTAGGGGACCCATGCTTCAGGTCAGAGTGTGTTACTATCTCAACTTGCAGGCTTCGGCATGAAGTAAGTCACCTGGGTCAGGGAGGAACCTGTATATTCTCTGAGTTTATGGTCTCACTCAGGATTAAGGTTTTTAGAATGTCCATGTGTCCCTGAATTTGATGAAGACACTTTTCACTGGAGAACCTTCTGTGCAGAGTGTCCAGAGAATTACGTTAATTCATTGTTTCACTTTTAAAGACTGAACCTTAGGCTTTAAAAGAGTGTAAAACTGCAGGGTAATCTATTAAAGTCAATTGCTAACTCATAAGTCCTACATTGTAAGATCCAACTCTGGAAGACTTTTGAAAAGCAAATCCTATACATAACTCTGAGGGTTTGGTAGGTCGATGCTAGGCCAAAGCCATAGATGGTGTCAGCTCAGCATACCAATTAAACAAAATCTCTCCTTTCACTTGGTGTCAAGTGAAAACAGACAACCAAGCAGACCACAGACCAGCTTGTGTTTCTGAGCTCTTGGGGCCACTGCTTACCTGTAAACCCGTGGTTCCACCTGCTGCCGTTTATTTACAAAGCCAATGCTTTATTTATGAATCCCTGGTTAGTCATAATAACATAGAGGCAAAACTTAACAGTTATTTTTTTTTTTCAAGAATGGCTAAGTTAGGAGTTGAATGGAGGAAGCCCTGACCTTGTGTTACATGTTTCTAGGACAATGGTCCCAATTGTGCCTTGCCTACAACATGTGTCACTGTGTGCCATCAGACAGGTCACTCTTTTTAAAGACTGGGTGTGATATTTATCTACTCAGAGAAGGCCCAGAAACTCTTCATACACTCGCTGTAGGATGTAGTTATTGTATAGGCATGGAGGTTGTGCTGGCTACTATTTACCTCTTACCTTTTAAAAACAATGTGTCTGTGCTTCTACACACTGGAAGCAGGAAGGAAGAGGCTTTTGTACAACTGGAGCGGAACAGAAATTTCTGGCCAGGTCCGCTGTCTTCTAAGTCTTTAATTTCACAAATGACAGATAAATCAAATTCAACCAAGAAGTTTTTGTTGAAGAGGTAAAAGGTAGTCCCTGTCTTCAGGTCACCACTTACAGGGCTGGCCAATACCTGGGAACTCAGAGTTTCCGTGAAGCCCAGCAGAACAGCAGTTAAGTCTTTTTCATCCACTCTGGTTAGATTTAAAAAAAAAAAAAAAAAGTAAGAAAGAAAGAAAAAAGAAAAAATCATCAACCTGGGCAGTAGTTCCTTTGAGTTTTTCATACTTCTTTAAGCGTATGTTTGTATGGACCAGAGGCCTTAATCAGTCGTGGATAAAAACTTAACTTCTGAGGAGACATAGTCGGAGCCTGGGCAACAGTGCAGCAACTTAGGGCCTATTTGTTAGGTTTAGCTTCCTGCTCGTAATTCCAAGAGATCTTTGGTTGCGTAGAATCACTTTCTGGTGTTCTTTCAAATCCGTTTGAAAAAAAAAATCACTAAAAATAGAGCGTAGCATGGAGGCAGAGGTGTACCAGCAGGGACCAAGAAAAAGCAGCAGGCTGTGCCTTCTATGTCACACCCTTTCTGAGTTTGAGTTGGACAAACTTTCGGGCAGGAAAACCCGAAAACTCGGAGTGGTCAACTTTGTTTTCTACTTTCAAAGATAGAACTGTCCAGAATAATTTAAAACATTCACCCCCGCCCCTTGAGGACCTGGGGTGGGTGTGCTGCATTCAGAGTAGAGTTTCTGTTTCCTTCTTCCCAGGGTCCCAAGTTTTGCAAGCTATGTTCAAAAGCGAAAGGAAGGCAACGTAGGAAGAGAGTTTGTGATTACCCGGCAGTTCTGGGATTAATTGACACCTTGTCCCATTCCGGGAAGGTGCCATGTCTTAGTCTGACCATTGGCTCTGTCCGGGCACCTGGGCACAAAGTGGCTGTGTGCCAGTTATTGAATGAATGAATTAATTACATCCAAGTAGACCCGGTGGCAGACCCCAGCACCCGAGGAAGGTTTCTCCAAACTTAATGTCCCTGCCCTTTCACTTAGCCAGTGCTGTCTACCATGTCGTAGCTGGGGGGCCAGGGAGCAGGGCAGAACACTTGTGAGTTTTGAAACAATTCTCCAAAAAGTTCGTGTTCAGTAAAGTACTTTTTCCCTTTTTTCTAGAGCCCCGCATGGCGCCCGAGCCAGGCCATTCCTCTCCCACCTAGGAGGACTCCGCGTGTCCTACTGCCATCCATCTCCATGGCTCTTCTCTTCGGCTGTCACCTCGCCTGCGGATTGCCGCCTGCTTCTTCTAGCCATACTATCCGCCGTTCACTGACATAATACTGCTCGTGAGGAGATCCGAACCCCGTGTGGGGCATCGCGACTAATTAGCTCGGCGCCATCTGCCCAAGCGGGCACGCGCGGCAGGGTGGGAGGGGTGGGCCTCCGTCGCTGCGTGCACTATCTGGGAAGCTGAGGTAAGAAGGCGCATAGCATGGGTAAGCGGTGTCGTCGTCGTCGCATACTTTTCACGCTGCCCAGGGCTACACCACTATACTGAAAATTGGGAGGCAGGTTTAGGAGGCGGGGTCGGGTGCCCACCGTCTTGGGCGCACCCGTGTTCCCCATTAGATTGCTTCACGTACCCCCTACCCACTCTAAAGGTACCGCCGTATTGTCCCTTGACCCCCGCCTGCGGCGCAGCCCATTTGGGCGCGTCCTCAGTGGGCCGATTTTTTGTGCTTCCCCTTCGCTTTATAGGGGCCATTGCTTTGGGTCCGTCCTCTGAAGTGGCTGGGGCGTCATCAGGCTGGTTAGAAAAACCCGCTCCACGGCGCGGACACTCAGTCGCGTCGGCACCGCGGAGCGGGCTGCGTCAGGTGGCTGGCACCAGCGGCGCTCGCTGGCTCCCTGCTCTCGGGCTTGGGGCTGCAGCACCGGCTGGAGCGAACCCTTGTCCCGGCGTGGGGCGGCGGCGGCGGGCAGACGGGCAGGCACTGCCTTGCGTGTGAGTGCCCCCCACTCACATGTAAGTCGGGGAGCGCGGGGGCTTTCTACCCAAGTTCGAGGTACCCGGCGCGGGCAAGAGCCACCGGGCAAGAGCCGGGACAGGGCAGGGGTGCCTGGCGCCGCTGCCCTGCCTCGCGCCTCCCGGGCATCCTCCAATTTTCTCTCTTCTCTCTCTTCTCTTCTCCATTGACGTCCCCAAGAGCTAACCCAAGGAGCGCCTAAGGGTAATAGCAAACTCTTGTCATTTTCACCTTTGCACTTTCTTTTTCTCGTGTGGTTTTTTTCTTTATTTTTCCCTTTTCAGTTGTTGGGCATTTCTTGGTGCTGTTTTGGTTTGTCGCTATTGTTGGGTGCTTTGTGGTTTGTTCTCGCCCCCTTTTTCGTTTGCTCATCCTTTTTGACGCTAACTCTTAGGCAGCCAGCTCAGCAGCCCCCTACGAAGCCCTGGGGAAGCCACACTCGGTGGCCCCAAGACAGTACAGCGGAGACCACGGCGGAGCCCCCCGACACGGGGCGCACAGGAGCCGGAAAGCCCGAGGCCGGGGGCAAGCAGACCGCCCGGGCCAGGCGCGAGCCAAGCTCCCCGAGGAGGCCGGGTCACCATGCTGAAGATGGCCAAGAAGCTCAAAGCCCGAGCGGCGGAGAGCGAGAGGAAGACAGCCGCGGCTGCCGCCGAAGTGGCTGCCGAAGCTGCCGTGGCGGCTGCGGCGCTGGCAGAGCAGAAGAACGGGGACCCCGAGAAGCCCCCCAAGTCCGTCAAAATCCCCGTGATCGCCGGGCACGATGTGCCGCCCGAAAAGTTGCTAAGCGACAAAGAGCGCAAGAAGCTAGAGAAGAAGTTGCTGGAGCAGAGGAAAAAAGAGGAGAAGAAGAGAGAGAAAGAGAGGAAGAAGTTGGAGAAGATGATGAAGAAGAAGAATGTGCCAGAATCCCAATCGGTGGCCCGAGGTCCCGAGGTCGCCGCCGCCGCCACCGCCGCCACCGCCGCAGGCGAAGACGAGGGCGCCGCGCAGGGCGCCGCCGCCGGGGCCGGGCTCGGCGAGGGCGCCGCCGCCGGGGGCACGAGTAGGGCCTGGGCCCAGTGGGACACTGACTCCGATGAAGATGATGCCTACTATGCGCCACCTCGTGTTGGAGGCGTCGTGTGGCGCCCCGGCCCTGCCAAGGCTGGCGCACTCAGCGCGCACATGCCCCTCGTGGTGTTCCTGGTGTTCTCCATCCGCAGCCCCTCGTGGGTGCTCAACTTCCTCCTGCAGAGGCGCACGGAGCAGGGCCGTGGCTGTGGCTTCGTGTTCGGGGCGACCTGCTGCTTCCGAGTGTTCCTGGGCTGCGCCTTCTTCTCCTTCCTGAGTGGCCGCACCAAGCGCAGAGGCAGAGGCCGTGGGCGCTCCCGGGCCAGGGGCACGGGGCGCCGGGGGCGCGACGAGCGGCTCATCTAGTCAGACCCCCCCACCCCCCCATCATCATCATCCACATCGACCACCACCACCACCACACCACCACCACCTTCCACCTTCACCACCATTGCCGTGTAGTGTGGATCTTTATTAGTGCTTGTGTGTGGACACATTTTCCTTTTTGGTTGCTCTGTCCTTGGCTTTGTGCTTGCCTTGCTTTTGTGCACACTCCCTGCTCTCTGGCTCTCTCAGTGTCTCTCTCTCCTTTTCGAAATTTTCCTAAGTCCGGGCCCGCGCTCCCTCCCTTTCCGCCCACCCTGGCCCCTTGGCGGCGCCCGCCCGCCCTGCAGCAGGAGGAGGGGGATCCGGGGCCGCCCGGCCCGGGGGTGGAGCGCTGGCATCGTGCGAGGGGTCGTCACCACTGCGGGGCCGCCCCCTCTCCCCCCGCGCGGCCAGGCCCCGGCCCCAAGCCGCGGGTGGGGCGAGGAGACGACCCCTCTGTGCAACCCGGCCCGGGCTGGACTTGGGTGCAGGGACCCCCTGCCCGGCCTCCGGGCACCGCCTCCCTGCGCCCGCGCCCGCCCTCCCAGCCGCGGCCCTCCTCCTCCTCCTCCTCTTTCCACCCCCCTCGCCGCCGTCGCCTCCGCCTCCCCCCGCTCCCCCCGCCCGCCGTGGCGCTTTTGGTTCGGGGCGTCGGGCCCGGGCCGAGGCAATAAGAGCGGCGGCGGCGGCGGCGGCAGCAGCAGCTCCCGCGGCTCCTGCTCTGCTCCGCCTCGGCCCCGGAGCGAGGGGCGGAGAGCTGCGTGCTTGCCTTAGTCCGAGCCGCCACCCTCCCCTTGTTCCCCGCTTTCCCGGCCCGCCTGAGGCCGCCCGCCCCGTCCCCGCCGCCCCGCAGCCCGGCCGCGCCCCGCCGCCGCCATGGGCTGCCTCGGCAACAGTAAGACCGAGGACCAGCGCAACGAGGAGAAGGCGCAGCGCGAGGCCAACAAAAAGATCGAGAAGCAGCTGCAGAAGGACAAGCAGGTCTACCGGGCCACGCACCGCCTGCTGCTGCTGGGTAAGGGCGGGGCGGGGGGCACCGGCCCGGCCTGGGAGCCCCGCAGGGCACCCGCAAGGCCTCGCGCGCCAAGCCCGCCCCCCGCCCGAGCGCTCTGGCGCTGTCCTGGGCCCTTTGGCCCGTTGGGCCTTGCGTGTGCGGGGGGCGAGGCCGTCAGGGGGACCCTAGGGCGAAATTCGGCCGGGCGGGGGCTGCAAACAGGGCGTGGGTCCCCCTTGCTCAGTCTCGATCTCTTAGTTGCCCGCACCCCCACCCCTGGCTCTGTGTCTGCGCGAGGCCTACACGGTGCCAGGGGCCGGGGTGCGTGTCGGGAGGGGGAAGGGAGGCCCACGGGGCCCCTCTGACTGCGACAGAGTAGGGCTAGGGACAGGAAACGGGCTGGCGGGCCCAGGGACGGGGACCCGCCTCACTGGGGAGTACGATTTGTTGGGAAGGGGCCCAAAGAGAGGCAAGGGCAACGGGGGGGGGGGGGCTCAGGGACCTTGGCCGGGGAGGCTCTGGCGAGGGAAGTGGCCGCCAGGGTGGTGGGGCGAGTGACATCAGCCCCTCGGAAAGGACGGGGCGGTAAAGGTGGTGCAGAGGGGGGAGGGGGCGCAGGCGAGTCGTGGCGCCTAAGTGGGGGGGGGCGAGGGAGGAGGGAGCGTGGCGGACTCTGGGCGCGACTCGGGGCGATTCGGGCTGGACCGACTGTGCGCGGAGCAGACGTGTCCTGGGCCAGGCCAGGCCGTGGAAGGAAGAGAAGGAGAATCAAACAAAATAAGACCAAAAAATAAAAATTAAAAAAAAAAAATAGTACGCACAGTGCCCAGTGAAGCCAAATGACACGTCATTTTACAGTGTGACCTTTTCCCCCCCTTCTAGACTTACAGGCTTTTTGAAAAGCAAAGAAGAGCATTAAATGGTAGCAGCTGCCCCCCCAGCTGTGCCCCCACCCGTGTAACAACACACACGTTTTCCTGTTAGTCGGCCTCCTTGAGAGTGAAAACACAAAAGTGAAAAATAAAATAAAAGCGTATTTTTGAAAGACTCATAAATAAGATAAAACTAGAAAATGACATTTGTCTGTAAATGGCTTCGTGGTTTCGAAATGGCGTTTTTAAAATTTTTGTCCTTTTCAAGGGGGGGGGCAGAATAAGCGCTCTGGGAAGACTTTGCTGGGTGGAAGCTGATAAAAAGACATTAATTAGTTGTTTGTCAAGTGACATTTGGTTGTTTGGTTTTTCTTCTCTTTTTTTCACTGCGGCTTTTTCTCCTTGGCAAAAAAGGGGGGGGCAAAGAAAAAGGAGGGGTCCCCAAACTAAGAAGATTGTCTCTCCCTTTTAAGGTGCTGGGGGGGGGGGGCTACAAAGGCACACAGGCAAAGTTGTTGAAACGGCCACGAAAACATTACACAACATTGATTAGAATGGAAACTTTCCACTTCTTGGTATTTTGGCTATCTGAATAAATTTGTGAATTTGCTGGGAGCACGGTCACATTTCAACAAAGTAGTTTAATTATCGAAAATAAAATGATAGGAGGCTGTTTTTCTTTGTGCTGGCGTTCGGTTTGATCTTTTTGGATGGGGTCACGTCTTTGTTCTCTCTGGGGCAGATTCAGGAAAGCAGAAAATTATTAGTAAAGTGAAAACCAGTGTCTTTGGTGTTGATGCATTTGCAATTTTAGTAATTAGAGGAGATAAAGGTGGGATCTAAAACTTCTAAAGGCATAATTATGCCATAAATATTAATATGCCACACTTTGATTTTAAAGTACACACCTGAAAAAGTCTAGAATCTTCTGTATGGTCCATTCTTGCTTATGTGAATGTTGATTTAACTCCAGGATGATGGTAATGACACATTAATTTCTAATCCCTTTGTTTTTCTGTTTTCACAGTGATTTCAAGTGAGCCCACTTATTTGAGACCATTGTTCTGAGCCCACCCTGCTGCTACTCAGGTCTCCTAGTCTACAGGGCTCATTAGACCACAATTAATTAGTGACCTTTGCCATAGAAATCTGTTGCCCTGGCCATTGGCAACGTTTTTGCATTTCTTAAAATGAAATAATTTCCCACAAAGGAAACCTAATCTCCCAACCCCCTTTTCATTAGCCCATTTTAACTTTTGCGATGTAAATTAACTCGATTACAGAACTACAAAACCCCCTGGCAGTTATTTCCAGCCCAGTTTTCTGTTCTCAACAAATGTGGAAACTGAGGCACAGATCTAGTTCTGTCTATTAAAAAAAAAACAGGTGTCATAATTTTTAACATTTCTAAGATGAGAATCTGAGGATCCTAATTAGTACTCTGTGTTCCCTTCATGGGACCCTCACAATAGTGCCTTTTATATTTAATTTATGAGACTTTTGCACATTTAGGGTGGTGTTTGCTTTGAAATCAATGCTTTTGTGGAAACCAATTTTAACTTTTACAGATATTGATTACAGCCTTGGGTTTGAAAGGTAAAAGGGGGAGGAATACTTCACTATCTGGGTACCAAGACAAAAACAATATAATTAAAAAGATTTTTAAAAGCATTCAGATTTATGTGGGAGGAGGGGGAAACCGTTCACTAGTTATTCTCTGACTTGATGGGGTGGGGTGGGGTAGGGTGGCAGGGGGAGGAGGTCTATAAAATGTTACTGTTTAGAAAGAAACAAAAGGTGATTTAAAATAGAGACTTGTGCGTCTTTAGTTGGGAAAAGCTTAGAATCTTCCAGTTTAGGAGTTTCCAGGAATATTTGTGCATACAATGAAAGTCATTTTTCTTTAATTCTTTACTGCTAATGTTGCATGTTGCCTGATGCTAAAAAGGTCTCAAGTACCATGTTTGATATTCAACTGTGTTGGGTTTTTCTTTGTTTTTTTGCTCCTGTTTTGTTTGTTTGTTTGTTTTGCTTTTACCCCCTTGCTGCTGACAGATAACTGATGGTCTTCCATTTCCCTCTGCAACATGGTAGTTGTAGCCAGAAGAAAAGTATCTTTAGAGAGATTCCTTTTGAGGGAAAGGGAGTGGATAAGTGAATACAATGTAGCATTGGTGTTAGGGCGGACTGCAAGCATGCTAGAGAGCAGCTGCTTTGGTGTTGGGAGGAGGTGCTGCAGCGGGACGTGATGTGACGTTGGGGGTCTGCAGTGTCTAGGCATTGCCTGCCAGTCCTGGGTATTTTAACCATAACACATCTAACAAACAGGAAATTAGGTGGCTGCTGCATTTCTGTGTACCTTTGACCACATTTCAATATTAAGTTCACATTTTTTACTTAAATTTTTCGCCCCTCCAATGACAATTACGTCATCCCCTCATAACTTCACGATTTTTAAAAACCCAAAGAAAACAAACCAACAGCAAAACTCACAAAGTAATTAAAATAAAAAAAAATCTATCTTAAAAACAGCAGAGCCCTTAATTCTTGCTTGTTACTCTATGGTGAGATACTTCAGGTAGACCGTAAGTTGGACATGTCTTTGTTTTTCACGGCGTCGTCACGTCCAGGAAATTTGCAATTGTGTCACTGTGTGTCTGTTGTGTGCTGCTTCGCTGCTTCTCAGGCCATCATCCACGCGAAGTGTGGCAAGCCTCTGTCTTAACCCCTCACTTTCCTTCTCAGGTGCTGGAGAGTCTGGCAAGAGCACGATTGTGAAGCAGATGAGGATCCTGCATGTTAATGGTTTTAATGGAGAGTAAGTGTCAAATCCAAGCAGGGTGCGCAGAAGGAGTGGCCCGTGCCTGGCCTGTAGGAGAGTGTGTACTAACGTCCAGAAAGCACAGCTGCTAATTGCCACTAATTATTTTTTTCTAATTTGCATAGTAGACAGCCCAGGAAAGAGCTGATGGGTGCACTCCCATCTCAACCTTTGGTGCAACTATAGGAATAACAGTAAAAGCACCCATGTCCACCCCAAGCGGCCCCTCGCGCTGGAAAATGGTGCCTGGTTGCAGAGGACAGTGAACAGCACTTGGCCGGGTGACAGCGTCTCTGAGGCCAGGTCCTCTGCTGCAGCCTCGGTCTGCTGCAGTGCGGCTCCAACATGGCCGACGGGGCCTTGGCCACCCCTTGTCCAGCCAGAGCTGGCCAGCACAGGAGGTCCCCACCCACCACCCTGCGGGTTTTACTGGAGTAAACTGGTGTGGGCATTTGTACCATCAGGAAAACCTCGGTTCAGCTACGTGTTCACTTAAAAGTTAGAATCCACAGCCACGAGGCCGGCAAGCTTCAAGCTTGTGCATCCTTAGCCCCTGCAGAATTAATGTTTCTCTAATTAACAAAAGCAATACTCTTACCTCAACATGGGGGGAAAAAGAGTACAAATGATGAAAAGACAGGAAACTAGCTACTTCTGGCTAGTCCGGGGGGCATTTTGCCTTTGAAATGACCTTCCTGGTTTAAGACAATATGGCGATAGCTGTGAGAATGGAGATTTTTCTGAGAGAGAGAGAGAGAGAGAGAGAGAGAGAGAGAGAGAGAGAGAGAGAGAGAGAGGGGCAAATATGGGGTCCTGCCTCCCATGAAGAATGCAAACTGAGGAATCACTCCATGCAGTAGGGAATTTGCCTTTTCTGCTTAGCCCCCATTGTTCTCAGTGACACAGGGTAAACTTGCTTGCTCCCTTGGGCTGTTTTCACTGGTTAATCTCTAGGTGAGAAGCAGTAGTTTGTAATTACTGGTTAGTTAACCTAGTTGGTTAATACTCCCACCCCCTCTTCACCCTGATTTAGTTGAAAATCTGGCCTTTGGTTGTATTTTAACTTAACCACCCGGGGAGGGGCACCTACTTCTGCCCCCTACCAAGCCTTAAGCGCCGGGGATTCAGGATGCCATGGGCTGCTCTTTATGGAAGCTTCTAGAATTTGTTAGATTGACTAATCAGGTTAGAAAAAGATGACATCATCCATGTGAAGGGTTTGGATTCAGATGCTCTTTAAATTATAACCCCAAATTCAAAGATTAGTTAATAGGCAGAGGGAAGGGGCCTTACTAATTTCAGAATTGACTCAGTTACTACTGTGCACCCATAATCTAACCTATTGAGTAAATAACTGTCACCCACGAGAAATCAATTCTAGGATTCTTAATTCCTAATTCTGCCTTCTCAAAGCCTAATCAAGGAGATTGGCACCTGTCAGTTAACAAGCAGAATACGAAAACATCCCACCCCAGATGTGAGGGATTCTTTATTATGAGACTAGTTAAGGAAAAATAATCTGGCCATGCACCTCAAAATATTTAATCAAAAATACCTTGATGAAAGCGGGACGTGGCTGGCATTTTAAGGAAACAGCAGCCACTGTTAGGTTGAGTCAGATAGAAGCGATGTCACCCTTAAAGTTTTATTAGTTTACAAATTTCCCTAAAGTCTTATTGTTTTAAAAGCCAATTCTCCCTAAATATTGCTGCAGCTGAGGGTTCTAAACCAGAACTTCTCCTTTCTATTTTCTCTCTGAAAAGAGGAAGAGGCATTCCCAGTTTGCCTTCTTTGTGGACCTCCAAGATGATAAATTTAGCCCATGAAAGTGATATTCGGAGCTTCCATGGGGGGCTGGATTCCCTATTTTGACCTGGTTCAGCTACGCCTCGAAGGTTCTCTCACTATGGTATTGACCAGAAGTCTCTATACGTTGTTCTTAGCCTAGCCGCCATTACATTTTAAAAGAGTATAACATAGTATTAATTTGACCTTCAGAAATACAGAGGTCAAATATAGACTTTCCTAACTCAGAGCTAACTTCCTGAAGTTTTAATGCCAGGAAAGATGAACCCCGGTTGAGCCAATTGATTACAAAGCTGAGTGTTTATGCCCCACACGTGCAGAAAGGTGATTCAGTTCACACCAGGAAATGAGGAATGTCCCATTTGTGCTGTGGTGGGCCAGGAAGGACACAAGAAGATCTGATAGGGCCAGGAGCCTTCTGAAATCCCATAGTCTCAAGCGGTCTATGGCAAGTCACTGCCACGGCTCCTTGGTGCCTGTGCATTTAGTGAAAGCAGAAGAAAATAATTACCTGTCCCTCCTGTATCCAGCCTGAGTCTCCTGAGGGCCCCACTAATTCAGCCAGGAAAGTGTGGAACACTTCCCCCTGCGGCCTACAGTCTCAGTGGACATTCCCAGTTAGTCAGGCAAGCCACCTAAGGCTTCACCGGGAGGAGTGCCCAGGACTGTCAGGTTGCTCTCACCTGGTTATTTAGGGATGCAAGAGGCTTTGTGGGGTTTGTGTGCGATTGCAGTGCCTTGCAGATAGGTGAGCTTTCGATCTCTCTTTGAAAGGGGCGGCGAAGAGGACCCGCAGGCTGCAAGGAGCAACAGCGATGGGTAGGCACATTCAAAAACAGAAAACTCTTCTAACAGACAAAACAAACATGAAGATCATAGTGGGGAAACTGAGGACCAGACTCGGGAGCAGAATAGAGATCATCTCAGGGCCATCAGCCATTTTGGTGTGCATTTGCAAATGTCGTGTAATCCAGTAAAGTGCTCAACAGGAAATGTTTTGGCCCAGAGGAGAAAGCTGGGAGAAAGTTGGCCATCTCAGCCTCTGAGGAAAATTTAAGATTTTAAGAATAGATATTTTCCTTATGGTCTTTATTTCCCCTCCACTTAAATCATTAAATTCTGTCCACACAGTGGTCAGTCTAACCTTAAAATTTCAATACTCTTTGGGGAAAAAAATTAATATTTCCTCAATTAAAACTATTCGTTGTCTCCTAGTATTTTATCTTGGGGAAAATATATGCCTAATGTCATGGCACTTTGTGGCAGGCCATTGACCTTGACGCCTCTGGCCTCAAAATTTATTTTAAAAAAAAAATTTAAATTTTAATGCAAGGCACTTTACATCAATCAGTGAACAAGAGCATTTGTGACGGCACCCCACTCATTCCCATTGTTTATTATTTTGCTTTCTCCTCCCCACAAGCATCTCATGCCTGCAGACACACGCACACGCATGCCAGGCATCCATCCAGCTCCATTCGCTCACTCAGCATGCAGGACGGAGCAGCTATTTCTCATATCAATTCATAGAGAAGCTTCTAGTCTAGGACATCGAAAAGAAATGGCTTCTGAGACCGGGCACGGGAGGGTCAAAGGATATGGGGGTCGGGGACAAAGTGACTGACACATGTTTGTTCATCTGTTTCTTTTAGAATATATTACCCCTACTAGATGATGGCTGCAGTCCTCCATCTTCTTCGCTATGCCCTCTCCCAACTCTCCCAACTTGCATGCTTCAATTGCCCGGTCTTAGGGAACTAATAAGAATACTATTCTGTTGTCTGGGGGGAGGGGGAGGGGTCCCTACCTATTTCCTAACCTTTAGACGTAAGTGACAAAGGAAGGAGGAAATGACATCCTTGATTGGCTACAGTATAGTAGAAGAGCAATCAGAAAAGGCATCGATAGATTATCGGCTGTACCAAAAGTTGGCATCTGAGGAATGTGGCAAGCCCCTACTGAGAGAGCCTACTACGTATCGTGTTGTGCTAAACCTCTCAACCTTACTAATACTTACCTGCACGTCTTTCCTCCTATGACTCTCTACTCTACAAGTAAAAATCAGTATTAACAAGCCTGATAAATAAAATTCTCTGCATGTCTCAGCAATCCCTGTATCTTGCGTCTGTCTTCTGTCTACTCTCTTGTCTGTCTTTCCCCACAAGCATAAAGATAGGGTAGAGAAATGGAGGATGGGTTCCACATAGCTTTCCCCTACCACTTAACAGAAGGAAGAGGGGGCAGGACCTACTAAAAATGCTAACCCCACTAATCTGCCTTACACTTTTCTGGGGGGTGGGATGAGGGGGACAGCATCCTAGGGGGTGGAACAAGGGGGTGGGTGGGGGAGCATCCTATAGAGACCTCCAGCCCCAACACTACTCAGAACCCTGGAACTGGCACACGTAGTTTAGAGACATCTAAGGGGTTTTCTCTAAATTTCACAATCAGCGTTAAGTTCATTAGGCGGCTTTACAAAGGAGGGCAAACCTGCCAGCCCCTGATATGACGGCTCCATCTACATAGTAATCTCTTCAATGGAGAGGTTTTGTTTTAGTACTACACGCCTGAATTAGATTGTAGATTTTCTATTTTAGCTGTTTTATACTGGGTACACTCCCACACCTATTCACATACGTAGATGAATACTGAACACGTTCTCAGAATATCTGTATTTTAAGACTGGAAGCTTTCCAATTATCATACTACTACTTAGAACAAAATATCAAACTGAATGAGGAATCTTCCCTGGGGAAATGCTTCCTTCTATCTGTAGGTTGATTGGAGTAGTTAATACTCAGATAACCTCATTTTTCTGTTGTGGAGCCTTAAAACCCAAGAATTGGGGCTCTCAGTACCAATGGCTGGGAACCCTTTTTTAAAAAAAAAAAATCTTGGAGTAGATTTGTCCCAAGGCAGGATAGGGGAGGCTCACTGTAAACTCTAAATCAGAGTACTAGGGCCATCAGACACATGCTTTTAGATGCCCACATAGCCAGTCTCCAAGTTTAACACTAGGGCGGGAACTGCGTCACCTCCCTAAGAGAACCAGTCCCTCTGAGGGGTGGGGACCCCATGCCTTTTAAAGAGTCTGAGGGCCCCCCAGGCAGCTTTCAGGGTGTGTCTAACTCCCCGCATCTCGCCCCCTCCCCCCAAGCCTACGTGCCACCCACCCCCCAGCCCTAGGACAGCCCTCCAATCTGCAGGAGCCAAAAGGCCTTTCCTCTTGCCACCTTTTCCTGTTCCCCCAAGTGGTGGGTTCACTTTATTACAGATGTAAAGAGAGAGGCAGCTTGCCCTCCTCCTGGGGAGGGAGGGGGTGTTCTGATTCTCCCCTGTCATGACATGGGACCTTAGCACTCAGCCCCTCCCTCCTGCTGATGAGTATCCCCAAGTCCTAAACCTTGCAAACCCTACCTACCAGGGAAGAAGAGCCACCTAAAAGATGGACCCCAATAAAAGTATGTAGTGAGATTATTCAGAGCACAGAGCCCACTCCCCAAATACACAAACCTGGGTGGAAGAAGAGCCCTATTTAAATATCGCTGTTACAACTCTTTGTGAAAAAATGGGTTCTTTGGGTGTGGGCCTATTGGTGGGTCTGCACATGACCCCCAGGTCCCCACCCCATTGACAGGCATGTGCAAGACCCCTAGATCCTCGCCCTGTTGGTAGACATATACAAGACCCCCAGGTTCCCACTCGGATGGTGGGTGTGCACACGATCCCAGATCCCTGCCCTGTTGGCTGGCATGTACAAGACCCCTAGATCCCTGCCTTGTTGGTAGGCATTTATAAGACCCCCAGATTCCCACCCCATTGGCAGTCATGTACAAGACGCCTAGATCCCCGCTTTGTTGGTAGGCATACAAGACCCCCAAATTCCCACCCAGATGGTGGGTGTGCACATGACCCCAGATCCCCGCCCTGTTGGTTGGCATGTATAAAACCCCCAAATCCCCACCCCGTTGGCAGGCATGTGCAAGACCCCCAGATCCCTGCCCTGTTGGTAGGCATATACAAGACCCCCAGATTCCCACCCATATGGCAGGCATGGTCACGACCCCAGATCCCTGCCCCATTGGTGGGCATGTATAAGACCCCTAGATCCCCCCCCCCCATTGGCAGGGATGCACATGACCCCAGATTTCCCACCTGTTGGCGGGCATGTACAAGATCCCCTGTTCCCCACTCCACTGGTGGGTGTGCACATGACCCCTAGATCCCTGCCCTGTTAGTAGACATAATATATACAAGACCCCCAGGGTTCCCACCTATTGGCGGGCATGTACAAGACCTCTATATCCCCAGCCCATTGGCAGGCATGCACAAGACCCCTAGACTCTCGCCCTGTTGGTGGGCATATATGAGACCCCCAGATCCCCACCCCATTGGTAGACATATACATGACCCCTTAGAGCCCCGCCCCGTTGGTGGGCCTATACAAGACTCCCAGATCCCCACTCCGTTGGTGGGCATATATGAGACCCCTAGATCCCTGCCCTGTTGGTGGGCATAACATATACGAGACCCCCAGATCCCCACCCCATTAGTAGATATATACGAGACCCCTAGAACCCCACCCCATTGGCAGGCATGCACATAACCCCCAGATCCCCACCCCGTTGGTGGGCATATATAAGACCACTATATCCTCGCCCTGTTGGTGGGCATAACATATACAAGACCCCCCAGATCCCCATCCTATTTGTGGGCATATACGAGACCCCAAGATCCCCACCCCATTGGCAGGCATGCACACAACCCCAGATCCTCACCCTGTTGGTGGGCATATATGAAACCCCCAGATCCCCCACCCCATTGGTGGGCATGCACATGACCCCCATAGCCCCGCCCTCCTGGCAGGCATGTACATGAACCCTAGATCTCCACCTGAGGCCCACCTGCCACCACCTTCCCCCTGGCTATAGTTGCTGCTGGTCCCCCATCTTGTATCCCTGTGAATTAATCTTCTACCCTATTTCATGGGAAGGGGGGATGGTTTAACTATATCCATCTTGTGCCTTTTATCACAGAGGTCAGCAAAAGCAGCTCTGTCTTAACTTTGTCACGACCAACCCCAGCCCTGACTCAGTTTCTCCATCAGAAAGATAGCCTGTCCCTCTCCATGTCCTGTTCTGTGCCATCAGGCCTCACATTCTACAAGTCTTGCTGATCTTCTAATCCCCCACTACACATGCAGAAGACAAGGCTCAAGCTAGACAAGATGAGATCTCCAACCAAGGGGGACTTTGCTGGTCCCCTAAAGACAAGCTCACGGTTCCCTCTGTCTGTGCCTGGCATAAAGGCTGTCTCCTAAAAGACACACAGCATTCTGTAACCTCTGGAAATTAACATCCCATCTGGGGGACAGCATCCACCCCCATAGCTAGAGGTTGTGACCTTTACCTGTGGGGTCAGTGACTCTGACTGCATACAGATCACCCCAGAAAGACCACATCGGCTATCCCGTGGACTGGTTAAAATAAGAAGCCACAGACCATTTGGCCAGCTCCTCCCCCAGTATACATGAACTCCATACCTACCAATAATGTGGGGACCAGAAAGGTCTCCTAATCACAACTGGGGGCCAGTGTATATTAACACCATTAAAGAACAGTGCCTTGAGTCACGGTGCCCCAAGTATCATCTCCCTGTAGAATACCATCTCCCTCTGACAAGTTCACAGCTATTAGATAAATAACAAATCTACAAGTAAATATATGGGAATGAGCAGCCCTAACATCTATAATAAACACTTGTCACCCTGGGTTTCACAACATTCTGAATCCCGAGTTCAACGTGCCCTAACCCTACCTCCACACCACCCCAATATGTACAAGTCAAAGAGCTGCCCAGGAAGCTTTTAGGTGTGGTTAGAATAGCAGGTAGACCAGGTGCAATTTCTGGTACAGTTGATGGAGATCTCGATGCCACATCACTAATCTGGCCCTGTTGGGTGTGTCCTCAGGACATATTTGGGGAATTAATTTATTTTTATTTGGGTGCCTCTAATTTCTACAGATCTGAACCCACAACTCCTTGGAGAACAGAATACTATGCTTTTTAGTTGACATGTCTCGATGAAGGCGACATCCCGATGGTCAGGATGCAATATGATTTTCTTTTTTCTTTTCAATTCCACTGTAGTGAGAAGGCCACCAAAGTGCAGGACATCAAAAACAACCTGAAGGAGGCCATTGAAGTATGTGCACTCCCTCTTGCTCATATCTTTTAGCACCCCCTCTTCCCATAGTGCTGCCCCCTGACCATTTTTGCTAAATCATTTTCAGACCATTGTGGCCGCCATGAGCAACCTGGTACCCCCTGTGGAGCTGGCCAACCCTGAGAATCAATTCCGCGTCGACTACATTCTGAGCGTGATGAACGTGCCCAACTTTGACTTCCCACCTGTAAGCTCCACCTCAACCCTGGCTTCCCTTCCCCCGCTCACCTGAGCAGGAGCAAGGCCCAGTGGGAACACAAGGGACAAGCTTGCATGTAGGCAAGACTGACCAGACACATACTTGCCACGTGAATGCATACGTTCATTCAAAGCCTATGCTTAATACCAAAATAAAGATGTTTGTTTGCCCCCGCCCCAACATAAGTGACAGAAGCATCTACCCACGACTCTGGGTGCTCCCCAAAGATGAAATTGTGCTAATTACACTGATTTCTAGGGTTTAACAGGACTGCAGGCCCTTTCCACACATTGCTTCATGCGGGGCTCACACTTGAACTCACATAGTGAACTGTGGCCTCAGGGGCAGGGTGTGTGCACATCTTTTAACCAACATTCTTTCCTGGGTTCTCTTTCAGGAATTCTATGAGCATGCCAAGGCTCTGTGGGAGGACGAGGGAGTGCGTGCCTGCTACGAGCGCTCCAACGAGTACCAGCTGATTGACTGTGCCCAGTAGTAAGTAGCCAGTGGCACACGCGTGTGCACACGCACGGCAGATGGAAACACGCATAAAAGCTGCTAACCCACAGGCACTCAGAAAGTTCTAGTCGGATTCATTTGTTTTATAAAGCTCTTAATTGCGCTTTATAGCACACTGATATTGTTTTACATAAACAGTTAATACCTGCTAGAGCAAGGCAGTAATTACTGTAAAGTGGGAACTCGTGGAAATGACCTAAGCATTTAGGGGCGTACACAATACAGCAAGCATGTAGTGGTCCCATCATAAAAACACACAAGATATTTTTATTTGCCCATGCCTTATAAGGCACAAAGCACCCCTACTTGGGGCTGGTGGGGGGGGAATACAGTGACCCTTTCCTAGGCCAGCTCTTCCACAGGGACTTCTTTTGTTACTTTCAGTGTTGCTACATATATAGGCAGTCATGGTTTAAGACACAAAGTTACATGTTCTTTCAAGGAACTGAAAAGCAATCCCCATGGGCCCCAGCCCCCCTCCTTCAACAAAGTTCCTGATTTTTCTCAAAAGTTTGTACTAAAAGCTGGAAGCACTAATTATAGAAACACAAAACAAATGGAAATCCTGGAATTGTTTGTGATTTGTATTCTGGATCCAATTCAGGAGTTAAGTACAGATACAAGATGAGGAGTTTCAGCCACCCCATGGCAAATTGTGGGGGCCAGCTTCTTTGGGGCCCCTCTACTTTGTTGTTATTGTTGAGAGCACTGCAGTACACTCCTGAAGACTGCCTCGTGCACCAACTCTGAAAAGTTTTAAGGAAACTTCAAGAAAAAGTTGTGTAAGCTGCCTCCCAGGCACACAGCACACAGTGGCCCGCCCGTGTCTTGTTTAACTACCTTTCTGTTGGAGGGGGCAGGCTCTGGGCCTGGGCCCGTTTCTTAAGCTGCCAGGTTTGTGTTTGTTGAGCTGCAGTTTGGCTGGCCCCACTCCAGATGTCTTCTCACAAGATTTGGTGCTAAGGATCTATTTATAGAATTGTGGTTCTGTTGCCACGGCAACATGCTGGAGGCCAGGGTGGCTGGGGAGCTATTTCTGGGCCTGTGCTGTAATGTAAGATTGATTGGGCCAGTTAGTGTATCCTCTAAGCCAGACTAACTCAGAACTGGTAAAAAGGAAGGGGAAGAAGGGGGGGAAAAGACGAAAACAACAACAACAACAACAACAACAAACTTAGGGGAGTTCTTTAAATAGTAGACCTGCTCCTTTGCGATTTCTCTCTTCTGATCACTTTAAACCATTCCCAGCCCCCTGCCCGCCCAGAACCCCCTCCAAGCCAACACTGACATTGCTTTTGCACATTACATTATCCCAGTCTTGCACAAGGCGAAAGTTAACTTCCCTAACTGTGTTTAGAGTTGAGCTTCCCCCACAAGATTGGGATTTTCATTTGTTTGTTTTATTTAAACTAAAAGTTTGCCCTCTGAAATGTTCTATTTCGCAGACCCAATAGATAGGAAGGAGTTTTGTGTTTTTGAGTTGGTGAGGGCAAGATTGGACCCCTCGTGGCCCAGCTTTTAACCATTGAGATTAATCCACAGTAGGTGAGGTCAGGTAGGTTCAAAGCAAAGGGCCAGGCCGCTACCCCCTTGGAAACCTGTCTGTTGTTTCTGTGCCCACCGTTTGCACACACGTGCTGACCACCATGCCCCCCTTTCTTTTAAGCTTCCTGGACAAGATTGACGTGATCAAGCAGGCCGACTATGTGCCAAGCGACCAGGTACGTGTGTCTCTGGCCTTAAGGCTATGGCTCCATGTTGCTGATTCCCCATCTTGGGCCATTAGGGTGAGGATCACTGACCCAGCTCTTTGTTTTAGGACCTGCTTCGCTGCCGCGTCCTGACCTCTGGAATCTTTGAGACCAAGTTCCAGGTGGACAAAGTCAACTTCCAGTAAGTGGATGGTTGTCGAGTCCTAACTCTGTCCTGTAGAGTGGTGGGCCCAGGATAACCCAGCGTCCTTCCTCTTCCAGCATGTTCGACGTGGGTGGCCAGCGCGATGAACGCCGCAAGTGGATCCAGTGCTTCAATGACGTGACTGCCATCATCTTCGTGGTGGCCAGCAGCAGCTACAACATGGTCATTCGGGAGGACAACCAGACCAACCGCCTGCAGGAGGCTCTGAACCTCTTCAAGAGCATCTGGAACAACAGGTGTGTGGGGTCTCCCAGCCCGCCCTGCAGGGCTTCTGCACCCAGGCCCCGGCGCTGACTCCAGCCTTCTCTCCTCAGATGGCTGCGCACCATCTCTGTGATTCTTTTCCTCAACAAGCAAGACCTGCTTGCTGAGAAAGTCCTCGCTGGAAAATCGAAGATTGAGGACTACTTTCCAGAGTTTGCTCGCTACACCACTCCTGAGGATGGTACGTGCTCCCTACTGGTTTGGTCAGGTGGTTCTTGGGCGAAGGTCTAGCTATGAGTCCCCACCCCCACTGGGGGGCGGGGGGCGACGGGGACATTTATTTATTTCATTTTCTTATGCCGAGATCAAGAGCGTAGGAAACAGGCTACAATGGTGTCAGGCTAATTCTTCTAAACTGATTAGAATAATTAGTAATATTTGCTTTTGTTGTGTGTTTGCAGCGACTCCCGAACCCGGAGAGGACCCACGCGTGACCCGGGCCAAGTACTTCATTCGCGATGAGTTTCTGGTAAGTAGGGCTTGTCTGTAGTCCCTCACTTCTCCAGTCAGTGCTGGGTTTGGCGGTCGAACCATCCCAGACTTCTTCCATTGTATTTTACCAGCAATGACTGATCCTCAATGGTGGGGTATGAGGGTGGCTGACTGAGTCTGTCTTCCGCCCACAGAGAATCAGCACTGCTAGTGGAGATGGGCGCCACTATTGCTACCCCCACTTTACCTGCGCCGTGGACACTGAGAACATCCGCCGTGTCTTCAACGACTGCCGTGACATCATCCAGCGCATGCATCTCCGCCAATACGAGCTGCTCTAAGAAGGGAACACCCAAATTTAATTCAGCCTTAAGCACCAATTAATTAAGAGTGAAACGTAATTGAAAAGCAGTTGATCACCCACCATAGGGCATGATTAACAACGCAACCTTTCCTTTTTCTCCCCAGTGATTCTGAAAACCCCTCTTTCCCTTCAGCTTGCTTAGATGTTCCAAATTTAGTAAGCTTAAGGCGGCCTACAGAAGAAAAAGAAATAAATAGGCCACAAAAGTTCCCTCTCACTTTCAGTAAGTAAAATAAAAGCAGCAACAAACAGAAATAAAGAAATAAATGAAATACAAAATGAAACATTGTGTTGTGCAGCATTAAAAAATCAAAATAAAAATTAAAAATAAAATAAAGCATGATGTCATTTGACTGATTTGCGCCGAATGGGTCCCAATGTCCATGGATGGGGCTTGGTCTATGCACCAGCTGAACCTCCATGGTGAGAGATGGGTCCCAGGGCTCTGAGTAGAGTGACGGGTGGCCACTGTATATTGGAGGGTGGGCAGGGGGGACCTAATCTTTGGAGCATCAACGCTTCCATCCCTCATTTTTCCCCCAAACAGATTGCTAGCTACCATTGCTTCCCCCACACCAAAGGCTAACAGCCTACTCTTGGGAATAGGGGAGTGGAAGGGGCGGGTCTGTGGGCAGGGTTTCCTGTTGGCGGGGGAGATGGGAGTTGAGTAACAGTTGAAAGCATTCATCCCACACCAAGATGAACTGGGTGCAGATTAATTACACATCTAAATTAAAAATTTAGTTCTTGCCATAAAGGAGGTTGGAGGGGATGACTATAAGAAAATGAGAAATCACATAAAAATATCCTCGGTGTCGGATTGGGTGAAATAAACTGGATTGACTAATAAGTAAAGAGTTGTGAAGAGTCAATAAGCAAAACTATGGGAAAAGTACAATTAATTGCTAAAGAAGATATAATTACAAATACAGCATGAGGTGTCATCAATAAGAAAGCTTTCATTATGATTGGGGGTGAGATGGAGAGACTTGGGGGGGCAATATCAAGCTTAATTGGACTATGATTTAGGACTGAGATCCACTGTACCCCCTTCATCTTTGCCCTTCGGGCTCATTCCCCAAGTTTGTGCTTTCCACACAGGGAAGAGCCCAGTGTTGACCCCAGTATTAGCACATTGTACTTCCGAAATGAACCAAATGAGACAAGGGTCAAGTTAATTTTGTAACCAAGACCCCCCAAGTAATTAAGGCCAGCCAGATTAAGTTTTAGCCTAGTTTACCTCAAGTGTGAGTTCTAAGGAGGGCCACAGAAGCAGCTCCTACCATCCATTCCTATCTCTCTAGTCTTCCCATAGCCAATTTGCATTGTAGCGACCTGGTAATTAGATTTTGCAGATTTGGGTACAAAATAAACCAGAACTGTCCAAATAATCCTATAATCCAAGTAAAGATAGAGGCTTGCTAGGCAAATGTCCAGGCAAATCCATATTCTCATATTGGGATTCTCATAATCCCAATAAATGTATATAATCCCCCCAAATGTACATAATTCCAATAAATGTACAACAGAAATAAAGATGGGGTTTGCTATACAAATAGCCAAAAGACAGGCCCCACAAATTCCCACAATCCCTCAAAGCTACCCAATACATGTACAATTTAAGATACTTAATATGCAAATAGCTAGAAAACACACCCACAAATTCCACAATCCCTCAAAGCTTTCCAGTACACATTAGGGTTAGGGTTGGGCTAGGGTTAGGGTTGGATTAGAGCTAGGGTTAGGGTTAGGGTTGGGTTAGAGCTAGGGTTAGGGTTGGATTAGAGCTAGGGTTAGGGTTAGGGTTGGGTTAGAGCTAGGGTTAGGGTTGGATTAGAGCTAGGGTTAGGGTTGGATTAGGGTTAGGGTTGGATTAGAGCTGGGGTTATGGTTAGGGTTGGGTTAGAGTTAGGGTTAGGGTTTGTGTTGGTTTTGGGTTAAGGTTAGGATTAGGGTTGAGTTAGAGTTAAGATTAGGGGTTGGGTTAGGCTTAGAATTAGGGTTGGTTTGGTTTAAGGTTAGTGTTAGGGCTAGGGTTGGGTTAGGGTTGGTTTAGGTTTATGTTTCTGGTTGAATTATGTTTAGGGTTATAGTTAGACTATTGTTTAGGTTAGGGTTATATTTTGATTGTTTAGGATTATTTTTTGGGTTAGGATTATGTTTATTTTAGGGCTAGTTTTAGGGTTGGCTTATATTTAGGGTTTTGCTTTCTATGCAAATAGAGTCAAAAAACAGTTACAATTTCCCACAGTTCCTCCCAACTAGGTAATAAATATGTGTTCTAACATATAGGCTTCATGTGCAAACACAAGACCCCTTCAAATTCCCATAATCTTCCAAAAATAAATAAACACAATTTCAGTTACTTGCTATCTAAAAGTCAAAAAGGCAGGCCCACATATTTCCACAATCCATCAAAATATTTTTATATATTACAAGATGGCGGCTCATATCAAATAGCCAGAAGATGTACCTGTAATTTTTTACAGTTCTTTAAAATTATCCAATAAACCCAGAAGTACAGTCCCAATTGGAGGCCCATTAAGCAAACAGTCAGAAGATACTCTTGTAAATCCCATAATCTTCCATTAACCCACTTCCAATACACATACAACAGAAATAAATATGGGGTTTGCTATACAAATAGCCAAAAGACAGGCCCAAAAATTCCCACTGTCCCTCAAATCTACCCATTAAATACACAATTTAAGCTAATTAATATGCACATAGCTAGAATACATACCCACCAATCTCCACAATCCCTAAAAACTCATCAATAAATGTACAATCCAATTTGGAAGCTTCCTAGGCAAATAGGGAGCAGACACTCCCACGCATTCCCATTATCTTCGATTGATCCCCCAAATAAATATACAATAGAAATATAGATGTGTGTTTTCTATGCAATTAACCAAAAGACAGACCCACAATCCCACAAACCCAATTAATGTACAATGTAAGATGGAGGTAATATGCAAATAGCCTAAAGACACACCCACAAAATCCCACAACCTCTCAAAGCTTTCCAATAAACATGCATTCCAAGATGAGTCTTGGAAGGAAAATAGAAGACACACCTATATTTTCCCATATCTTGAGAATTTATGGGGCTGTCTTCCGGCTATTCGCATAGCAAGCCCCCATTTTGGATTATGCATTTATTGGAGAAGATTATTGGAAGGATTATGGGAAAATATAGGTGTGTCTTCCAATAATCTTCTCCAATAAATGCATAATCCAAAATGGGGGCTTGCTATGCGAATAGCCAGAAGACAGCCCATAAATTCTCAAGATTTTCCGTTGACACCTTCTATTAGCACAATGTTCAATCCAGTGACTTTCTATGCTAACAGTTGGATGATAGACCAACAAATTCCCACATTTCTCAAGATTCCCTGATAAACATATAACCCAAGATTGCTGTTTGATATGCAAGTAGCCAAAAGATAACTTCCTCAAATTACCACAATCACTCAAAATTATACAATAAATGTACAATCTGAGATGGAGGCTGCATATGCAAATAGCTTGAAGACACACCCACTAAGTCCCACAATTCTTCAAAACTATACAATAAACATACACTCCAAGATGGAGCCAGATCAGTCTACAGACTTCCATAATCCTACAAAGCTAGACAATAAATATATAATCAAAGATGGATGTTTCTTATACAAGTACCCAGAAGACCTCTCAAATCCCTAAGACCTTCCACAGACCCCCTTAATCAACATAATATTCAACCCAATGGCTTGCTATGTAGATAGCCGATATAGCCATAACTTCTCATGAACCTCCACTAACATGGTCCATTAACATAATAAATATTCAATCCAACAATTTGCCATGCAAATAGACAGAATACAGGCCCCCAAATTCCCACAATCCCTCAAAACTATCCAATAAATATACAATCAAAGATGGAGTCTTATTGTGCAAATAATTGCCAGAAGTACCCCCCAAATTCCCATAATTCTCCAAAGACTCTCAGCTAACATAATAAACCTTCAGTGCAGAGGTTTGCCATGCATACAGCCAGAGCAGGCCACAAATTCCCACAATCCCTCCCAGCCCTCAAACAAGTTCACAAACAAAATTCATTATCTTGTATCCACTTGAAAATTTGAGACCATAGAGTCACCTCTTGTGAGAGCTAAGGCTGAACCCTCAGACTTTGTCTCAAGGTGACTTCCCACAGGCCCCTCCTCCACAGAAATTCTAGAGCCTTCCCCTGATAATACACATAAGACGGCTTAGCATGAACCAGCTATGCTCAAAACAAAAAGGCACATGCCCAGGACACGGCGCCGGTGTGTCAAATGATTCCCCAGAATCCCACCTTGTTGGCCAAACCTGGCAGAGACATCATAGTATTTTCTAGAAGGTCGTCAGCCCAATGGCGCCTCCTATGTGTTGGCACTGTTCAGCCAGTGATTATTTGGCTATGGCTACTGTTTTATCAGACAGTAATGGAGGCCTAAAGAGGGCCCAGGGAAAATAGGCTTCTACTGAGGGAGAAAAGCCCTGTTGCTTGACCACTGCCCTACACTGCTGTCTGAGAAGATTCTGAGAGACAGGAAAAGGTCTCCTAGTGTTCTTCCACAGTGCCAATTGTCAGGCATCCAGAGCATGTGACTCCAAGGGGAAATCCTGTGGGTGCCATGGGATTCCATGATCTGGTGGGAGGGTGGATCCTCTTCCCTTGGACTCTCACTGGCCTTGGGAAGCTCCTTCCTCTCTGCAGGCCCTGCACTCAGGGGGCCTTCATCTCACTCAGTTGTGTTCAAGCCTTCATTCCCCTACCTCAGGAATCCACTCAAGACATTTTAAATTCCATTTCCCCCTTTGCCCTGGTTCTAGATTGGCTAATTTGCATTTTAGCAGTCTAATATAAAGTTAATAGTCTAATGTACAGTGACTGTATCATACATGTATTTTTGTATGTCATTTACCTAGATAGAACTTGGACGCCATTTTCTTCAAGTGTTTAGACTCAATTTTAAACCTTTATTTGACTGTAAAACAACATATTCCTGAAGGTGACAAATTGTGCCACACTTTATTCAGGTGTCTAGGCCATGAATTCCGTGTGATCTTTCGATGACCTTGTGGAAACCGGACTGTAAAGGCAAATGGAGAGGCCCGTTGCTTCGATGGAGGGCCTAGAACCCAGAAAGTTCCCCTGCTCCACTCTTGTTTAAATTTGGTCGGAATGACCTGCAGAGAAAGGACCACACTCATAGAGCTCTTCTAACATCAGGCAGTCTCTTAGAAGGTCAGGGGATGGTTTCGCCATTTTCCATTCAGTTTATGCACAAAGCCTAGGATCAGTGCAAG